ATCACTTGATCTTGTTTGGGGGGCCAGGGGCGGAGTTGGGCTTGTTATCTTGCGGGTCAAAGAGATTGTCTTGCTTGTTTGACAAGGTGCACGCAGCCCAGGGATTCGAAGAAAGAGACGCAGCAGCTGCCTCCGCAGCAATCCTGCAGTTTGGATTTGGGTTAGGGTACCAACACAGCCCCCATCCCGCCGCACCCTGTGCCGAAAAGAAACGACATCAGAGCTTTCGACACCCAAAACAATGTAACGGAATGATTGCGAAGATGGAAGTGGTAGTATTGATACTGAAACACTGGGGTAGCGGCAGCAGCAGCACGCGGAGGATGAGGAGGAGGAGGAGGAGGAGGAAGGATGAGGAAGGAGGAGTAGTAGTGGAGCAGTTAGTAGTGGTCATCGCCGTCTTCGTCGTTGATGGAATTGAGTGCTCACAACCATGCGCTGTCAAAGAGGTCAAGCTTTTATCCTTCCTGGATGCCAGAAGACACCACACGGCTAAGCTTCACTTTATAGCCTGCACTTCAGGGCGTGGGCATGTTGATTAGATCTTATTTGTTGCCACTACACCGAACCAGCCTGTATATGAGAAGTGCTATATTGACTCAAGCGACGCAAGCGACAACAAGTACTCTTATGGCTACATTGATCATGATGGCAGTCTTGTCTTGGACATCTGCCTTTGGTTTTGCAAATGTTGTGGTTCTTATGCCGACGACGGTGATTAGGTTTATACGGGTTTCTAGCCAGAGCGATAAATCGATTCGGAGCGTCCGCGCCGCAGTGTCCGCCGCCGTAACAAGCGCAGCAGCAGCAGTTTGCAGCCATGGCGCCAAGCCTGAGAAGGTTGCAGGTGAAAGCTGTCCTCTAAGGGTTCCAGTCTAGTTGCTGGGAAGATGGATTCCGCGCACAGCCCTGCATGAGCTTCCAAGAACCGACGTGTAAATAGCAATTACCCCGCCCTCCACAAGGGGCAGAGCGAAGGCGACCCTACAGATCCTAAACCTGCTTGCCATCCCGAACCTTAAAAGCCGCAGCAAAACGTACCCTATAAATCCGCCCGACAACCGCTGAAATCCTGGAGTCCTTTGTTAAACCCTGACGCCCCTAAAACCTTCCACTCCAAACCTGTGTGCATGTTCCCCAGTATTCCCTCACGTATGCAGTTAACACCAACTGTGCCCTTAGGGTTGAAGGTGCCCTTTTTCCACATCACCGGAGGAGCAACTGTAACACCCCACACCTGAAACAAAAAAGGCCACACTCTTAATGGAACCCCTGAGAGGAGCCCACAAAACCTTGAAGGAACCCGGAAAAAGAGCCTAACAAACTCGCTCTAACTGTCCGAGCTGCAACATAGCACCGAGACAGGCGCTCGGAATCGTGTAGGAATCAATACCTGGGAGCTTCGATGGGTGGTTTCGGCGCTCACACTCGGACAATCCATGCGAGGCGTGTGATGTCGGATCGAAACGGTGAAGCCGCAACGGTCTTGACATTGGAGAGAAGATCAGGTAACAACTGCCCATACTGCTACACTTTGCTAAAGCGGCACGGCCTTCTTTCACCCAAGGTCCTTTCCAGGTTTAAAGTTTATTCGGGCTTACAAAAACCTGCCAGAGAAAGTCGGAGCGTCAATGTCCGCTTGCCCCTGCGGAAGTACACAAATCTCATGCACCACTCATCCTAAACCCATGCCCCATGCTTTGAGCAGAATTGACTTGAACTCAAGGCTGCAAGGCTAAGAACTAAGAGACATGGTAACTATTGTCGCATCAGCCCTGCAGCAGAAACCTAGAGCCCGGGCACCGTCTTGGTCAGATTCTTTCCTGACAGGCCAGCCTTCAGAACAACCAACCCAAGCAGTACTCCGCTGTGAGTCACATGTTTTGGCTGCGAAGTGGCTCATCTCGATCACAGGCGCATCCTCGGAAGTCGCACGTAGGGGCTTGAGATGTTTCTACAAAATCTTGTGGTTACATGTTTTCCTGGCTTTACACTGGCTATTTTGACTTAGTAAGTCTGCTCAATGTCTGCTCTACTTCTTATTATAGTAGCCTCAACATTCATCTAAACAACATTACTTACTATGTCGGCACAGTGCTCGAACTGTAGCTTGAAAGAGCAACTCAGAAAACCACTCCAGTTTTCATTCAGGCGTCTCTAGTACCCAAGTACCGCTGAAACAGCACTCCCTGAATGATCTAGTAAACTAAAACAACCGGTACTGAGGCCGATATCTTTGACAACCCGGAAAAGCCTCAAACTTCGCCGACCCTCATGCCAAATGACATGAAGAAGCCTGACTGAGCCCCGGACGCGACACCCAAAACCCTAAACCCCAAAAACCCAAACCAACCCACAACTTGGTTCTGAAAAGTCCTTCAGATCGTGGCCCGGCTCGACCAGCAGCGGCTGCGGCGGAGGTAACCACGCGAGGGATAGGGAGAAGACCACCTCGGTGGTGCTTTCCATATGAGTAGGAAGAAGCTTTTGGAGCTTCGGGCTTTTTGCGTTCATGGGGGCACGAGTCGATGATTTACGGCCTGAGGTCCTGGAGTTCTTTCTACCCCCTGGCTCTAGAGGCCCCAGACCCCAAAACCGCAATCCCCACATCCTTTTGCAACAGGCTTCCCACTCCAAATTCCTATCTCTTCGGGACAACTCTAACAGGGTTCCGTCTATTATCAGTGACAATATGGGGCTAAGGTTACCCCTTAGTACTAATTTACTAAGCACGCCAATCTCTCTATCGTTAGAATTGGGGTTCTGCATCCCGGATACGACGAGCGCGAACACACTCCCCACCACGTGGCCTTGCCATGTCCTGCGCAATGCGGTTTAGGGTTCAGGTCGAGTGTAGCTTTTGTCAGGTTTAGAGCTTGGCAACAGGATGTGTTCGGAGGGGTGGAATAACGGGCGTGAGGGGCTTAGGGGTTGCGGGGGTGAAGAGGAGTGTATGTGGTAAGTGGTCTATAATATAGGATTTTAACCGCAGCAACACAACCCTTAAGCACAGACGCCTTATAACAATCATAGCTAACACCACAAGCCCGATCTAACAAAACCACACATCCCCACAAAAACCTTCTACAAAACCCTGGACCAGCGGAAACCACAAAACAGGTAGCTCCCAAAGCCTACAAGTCCTTGGACCCTAACGAAATCCCCTAACACCCTCGAGGCCACAACTATCAGAGTTCGGTCTGTGGCACAACACCTCATTCTCAGTCCCCTCTATTTGGGGTTTCCAGGCTAGGGCCCCATTTCATCCGAGCTCCTTGTGTGGCTGTGGCTAGACTCCTCCACTCCCTCCGTAACGGTCTCGGGATCGGCCAGAGCCTGGCCAAGGTGGGCTTTAAGGGTTTTTTGCGCTGCTGTTTTCTTCAATTATCAATGGTGTGTTTGACGTAAATGTTTTATCGGGGCTGTTCGAGGGGTTAGCAAAGCTGCAGCAGGAAATTGCGCTAACGAGTTTTCAATTTCTTATAACTGTTGATATGATCAGGGTCTAGAAGGGCTAAGCTTGATTGGAAGGTTTTATGCAGATTTTCTTCATGGGATTCTAGAGGGTCTCGCAAGGGCTCTACAAGGCTGTATGGAAGCATCGTGATGGAGGATTGTAACACTTCAAAAATTAGAGATCCAGACTGTTATTTGAGCATTTAGAAGTCTTTAGGAGATCGTTGGGGTCCGGAGCTTTCCCTAAACACCAACCTCAACCGTTCAATTTCCTACAGGCAACGACTGGTTGAAACAGACCAGGCTTGGCAGGGCTGGGTTGGGAGTCTTTGAGGACGACAGTTAACCAGCACATGAACTACTAGATACTGTGCAGAGTGGCTCTGTAGCCTAGAGTTTCGGCTTTGACAGGCATACGGGCTGGTCAAGCGGCAACAATTGACAGGCAAGGCTCCAACAACGGTAGGAAGCCAACCAAAAAACGCGGAGTTTTAAATCCGCGAAAGAATGGGATCCATCTTAACCACCCCAGTAAGAACCATGGGCTTCTTCCGGCTGCAAGATGCTCGGAATGCGAGCCAGCCGGCCGGCTTCACCTGAACCCAAAGCCGCACCAACCAGCCTTATCTACTCTGGGTGTCTAAAGCGCCTTCCTAATCCGAAAGTAGAAGCACATCCAAAGTACGCTGTCTGACGACCCTGAAGGTCTTCCGCGCATGTCCCGATACGCAATGATACTTTAAAGGCTGCACTGCTGCACTTACACCCCACCTCCCTCGGCAGCCCACCCGTTTAAGCAAGTCCTACCTGGACCTACCGACCGCAACAAAGCCACCTCAATAAACACACGCATGACAGAACATTCATGTTTGTCCTGAGCCCCACAGGCTGTGGTCTCGAAAGCCCAAGACCGAGACGCCTGGTAGGGCACACGCTGCGGCTCGCCGACCACGGCCATCCCTAAGACCTGTGCCTCTGCCTCTGATCTGCTCTTCTGCTCAAACACTGGAGCCAGCAGCAGCGAACAAGAACTTGCGATTTGGACTTCTTAGGACCTTAAGAGGAAGCTTAGAAACTGATTATGGCTACGCAGAAGCTTCGGGTGGCTGCAGGACTTTGAATGTCAAAGCCCCCTGGTCGTTCGCGGGACGGAGGATTTGGAAATGGAGAAGAGACCCTCGAAACCAGTTTTAGTTTTAGCAAAGTGAAGCACGAACCTTAGCAACAACATGACCAATGCGAAACATCAAGTCAGACTCGACAGAGTCGTATAGACCCACGATGATTCTCCTTATCACGGATAAGTATTAGGATCCTCTTTCTCATGGTCCTCCCCTAAATTCGCGGTGGCAGCCAGTGCCTGAGCCCCACTGCCACCTCCGAAGTTTCCCCTCAAAGCCTTTATCGTGAACTCTAAAGACTCAATCGAAGGCCTCACAGCCCTACACTCTACACAAACCCAAACCAGTCCTAACGACTTGTATTTCCTTTTCGAGCCCTAGACCTAACGAGCTTTCCAACCAAATGCACCTGCAAAGTCCGGCCTCCTGTGAGTGCGGGGACGCCAGCGTACCGTCCGGGGATGAAGCGGCCAGCAACTCCTAAGGCGATGGATTGAGGGTTCAACAGTTTAGACATTGGGGTGTAGGGTTTCGGGTATACGGTTTTATTTAAGGTGGAAGGCTTGGGGTTCCCAGTTAAGGGTGGCGCGATGATGACGTCGGAAGGTGATGGTGATGATTGTGTCAAGTCTGTTTCTACGATGGGCTCATCACCCTTAGTAGCAGCACCAAACTGTTAAAGTGTTCGCTAGATACATCGCACGACTCATGACCAACATTGCGACGCTGATGATGTCGACCAGGACTGCTGAGTTGCTGCCTGCCTTACTACTTGAACTACAGCTACGCGTTGCAATCACTGCCTGTCGCGAAAAGCTCGGGATTTGGCATCGAAAACATGCAGCAGAATTCAGTTGATTTGGGCTAGACGATGCTAAGGCGATTGCAGTAATAAGCTGCGAAAGACACATTGCTAAAGAAGAAAGACTTGCGAAGTTCCGGTCTTTCCATACATCCCTCGAGCCGCAAGAGAACACAATCTTCGCATCGGGGTTTGGGAAGCCTGAAACCCTGCCCCGTCAACCCAAGACACTCGGGAATTTCCGAAAATAGGGGACCCTAATATAGTACCCTGAATAGTAGGATCCTTATTTTGGGGACCCCAAAATTCGGAAACTCCCAATTTTCGGAAACTCCCATGTCGGTCTCCGAGCATGCCAATGCCTACAATCCTCTCGGAGCTGCAGCGAGCAAGCTTCTTACTAAGGGATCCAGCAGCATAAGCACGCATAGACATCCGTGTCACCAAAAACCTTCTACCAGAAGGAAAAACCCTCCATACATCAGAATACCACCATAATTCCCACAACAGAACCCCAAACCCCAAACAGCAGAAGACCGCACGTGTTCCTTGCATCCCGCTGTCCTTCCCCTTCGTTGGGCTGCTGCTTCGCAGCTCTCCCGAGCGAAGCCTCGACAGTTTGGTGTTGTAGGAGTTTCCGAAATTAGGGGATACCTTTAAAAGGGATCCTTTAAGGGTTCCTTAAAGGGATCTATAGGGGTTCTATAAAGGGTTTAAGGTTTAGGGAGTTTCCGAAATTGGGGGTACCTTATTCTGGGGTCCTTATAGTGACGATCCTATTATGTACCACTAATATAGGGGCCTTAATGATTAGAAAAGGGTTCTTTTGAAGGGGTCTATAAGGGTCACCAGGGATCCATAATATAGGGGCCTTCATAATTGAATTCTGAAATTGGAATAGGGTTTGAGGGCCCATTATGGTATAGCTATAATTCGGAACAGACAAAAAATGTAGGCCCATAACTGTTTATCTTTCTTGAAAGGTTGCGGGTTCGGGCTTCGGGGGGGCGTAGATGGCAACGGTCAAGCCTGAAACCTAACCTTATCCTCATGAGCTCCACCGGCTTACCCTTAGCACGAATAATGTACTGCCGGATAGCCAACTATAGAACCCTAAACATTACAAGCCCAAATCCTTCAACGAACCCCTCATCATGCATTGAAAGAAGCCTAAGGCAGGTTGTTGGGCCCTGCTGTGAAACTGCAAAACCTCACAAGCACGGAAAACAAAACACGAAACGACTGCGGTTCCCAGAAAAGGATCATCAATGTGTCCATGCGTGAACATCGGAAGACTAGGATACCTTGTTTCAAGGGGCCTTCCCTTAAAGATACTGCCGTGGAGGGCTCTTCATGAGATCCCGAGCTCCCTCGGCCTTTTGAAAAGTCCCAGTTTCTGAGCCCTTGGTGCTTGGCGCCGGGCGCTGTACTTCGCGCGGAAAGCGGCAACTGCAGCTTGGAGGCCTCCTGCTCCTCCTGGGTTCAAAGGGCAAAAGGAGGGATTTCTCATGGGGGTCCCCACCCTATAACGGGCTATCTAATGGGTATATCATATAGCTATGTCAAGGTTATGGCTGCACCGTTTCCTTTGAGCTACGGCTCATGGTTTAGCTTTTACGTTGTATACAAAGGCCCTTGCTGCAACAGCATGATATGCCCAACAGCCGAAACCACCGCAGTGGACCGCCCTCAAGCCGCTAGCCAGCCCTGCATGGATCATCATGAATCCAGCCCAACCCGAAACCTTCAACCCTAAACTCTGAACACTTGCACCAAAGCATAATCCAAATTCCTCGACTCTCAACCCGTAGCAGCAAGCCCTCAACAAAACACCCTAAACCAGCATTCAACCCTGAGCCCTCAACACTATCCCCCTAGGATGCCTTTAGAAACTCAGAAGCCCGGCCCCGCCTCTCTCTGCGGCAGAGGCCCAGCCCCAGTTTTCTGACCTTCCGTCCGCCAGGTGTGAATTAGGAACCTGAATACTTAGAATAGGGTGTTGAGGTGTTGCTCTACTGTGTCTATACTGACTACTAACTTTGTTTATGATACAGCGACCACAAGAGTATGTGGTATTTCTCTGTGTGATTGCTCTTCGCTATGTTCCTAGGACTCAGCGGATCTAGGCACGGCAGCTTCGGATGTAGGGCTCGGGATTCGGGTTGAGGGAGCGAAGACGCTTGCGGTCTCGGATAGGAGCGGTTTGATCGGTTCAGGGTGGGTGAAGCTCTGGGGATGCATAGAGAGGGGTGGAAAATTGGGCCTTGGGCTTTTCCGATCAAAGGCCTGAAGTCTCCGATCTGCCTTGGTCCGTCTTCGTGCTTGTGTTGAGCCAGCTCGCCTTGCCGTCCCGAGGACTCGAAACAAGATAGAACACCACCCAAAACCGAAGCCCAACACCCAAACCTCCCCCCCCACAGGCCCTAAATCTTATAAAGCCAGCCTGTCTGGCCGTTTTCTGGCTCCTGGACCGCCTCACGGAGGCTTGCGGTGGTAAGTTTTGGAGGTACTTTGTCGGTTTGGGATTGAAGGGCTAGGGCTTACTATTCTAGAGTTTAGGATCTAAGGTGGTATAGGGCTTTTACGGCTTTGAAAGGGCAGCAGAACAGCATCCGCACATAAACTTTAGACTCTTCAAGGTCAGATTCCCACAAAGGGGGGGGTGGGCTTCGATGGCTTGTGTTTAGGTGCCGTTTTGGGTCCCTAGTAAAGCTTCCTCTCGAGGACTCACAACTGAACACTCCTTTCTTCAGGAACTTAAATGTGAGTGTCTCAAGGTGCTGGGCTTGGGGCTTTAGCGATACCTAGGGCTTTGTATAAGAGCCTATTGATGTAAGAACCTAGGATTTCTCTTACCTGCCCTGCCCCAACGAGTTGGAATGGCTTGAGGGCTGAATGAAGGTAGGGCAGCTGCGGCCCTCTATCTCATCTTGGACCGAGCTTCGGGGGGCAGGGCGTCTTGGGGGCTTGCATGTCGGGACTGCCTTGATATCTTCCCACACATCGGGTGGCATCGGGCACGACAACAAGCCGAAATAACCAGGAGTGGCATAGAACAGATCTTCAAAACCGCCAACCTGCGTAAGGATTCCACACTTCTGTTCCGCACTTGATGGGTGGGATTCTGCACCCTCAGAACTGACAGCAAACGGCCTCTGGGCGAAGCGTCTGAGCATCACCTGGCAAGCGAAGTTGTTTGAAGTAAGAAGAACAGCTAACGGTGCCCTGGCCCTCAATCCGAAACCTCACAGCCTACCACCCCAAACTAATGCACCTCAACCCCTCAACTACGAAGCCGAATAATTAGGTGGTTCCGGACGTACATGATGCATGGAACATCCGAGAAATCACAAAACCTGGCCAGCCCAGATAATCCAGTATCACTACCGAGCATATGAAACCAAAAGCGACTTTGGGTTGCGGGCTTGGGTTTTCACAAGAGACTGCTCTTTAGCGAGAAGAACCTCCAAGCTTGAAGACTGTTCTTGCAGCAGGCCTCATTGTCCAGCAGCGCGGTCTAGTCAAAACCCACCGTCTCTAACCTAAGGCATAAAGCCTAAACCCAAAACGCTAGACGTTTGCGTTCAATTCAACATGCTAAAGCCACCACAGTTAGGGTTCGGCCTTTGCAGCGAAACAGAGCTTTTCATTGGCTTTTTCGAAGCTTGCTTCTCGCTTCCAGTTGCTTAGGCCCAACCCTCTGGGCCTATGTCCCCAAATGGTAATGCTCTAAATCGTATACCCAGACCTCGCAACTACCTGCCAAAAAGCCGTATCCACTTGTCAGGACCATAAGGGCTGCATGGAAGGGTATGAGTACCTCTTGGCAACCCCTCAAGCCAAAGCTCAAGTCGAAGCTTTCGCCAAGGCGGCCTTCACTTCGCCGTCGCCGCGTCTCTGCGCGAGCCAAGGTGCCTCCACATTGCAAAGATGGTGACGGTGGAGTTTCGAACCCAAAGGGCCGAAACAGACACCGGCTTTTGGATTGGAAGTAATTCCTAAATACGCGGATCCGGATATTGTAGACTAAGCCCCACACCCCCAGAACCCCAAACCCAGAAGCGCCAGGGCCCAAAGAACGCCTTGGGGTACTTGGCCCGTTGCCGTCTTGGCACGAGGCCGACTCCTGACATCAGCACAGTACTCTGGGATACTCCGGGTGTCAGTGTAGTATTTCAGCCTAAGATATAGGCTGAAGCTTTGCACTGTGCCTGTGGTTGCCTGTGGGTGGCAGGCGAACAGGGTGTTTTCCCAACTCCTACTCGGAGGATTCGTTTAACAAGAAACAAAATAGAAGCCTGAACACTTGCTTCCTCAGGGCTGCTACTGGTAAACATATTTACCTGGACCCTAAGGAACCTACCTTTTTTAGGGTTCCCTAATATGATTTCTTTATATAAGTCCTTAAAAAGGTAGGTTACGTGGGGTTAATTAAGGTAACCATAGACCGACTTGACAGGCCCTATCGGCTGCCAAGAACCTCCATACTTCATGTCGAAAAACATTTTTCGAACATACAAGCCACCTTCGAACTCCCCTGTAATTTTTAGCTGATCGAGGGTATAGGCCCTAAGCTCCTAAGCCCCTAAACCGCTTTTGGGTGAGGGTCCTTTCCATCGCGGCGGCTGGAGAGCGGGGGGAGCTGCGACCTGCGCTGCCCAGGCTTAGTCTTTCCACACCCTGAACCACATGGTACTCTCAACCTTACATGACGGGAGCCCAAAAGGGGGGGTTAAGATTCTTGGGGTGGGGATTCCTGAATATGAACCCTATTCTGGGAACCATAATCCCTACTAAACCCCCATAGGCTAAAACCCCTCTTGGCCTCCTATGACTAAAGCCTTATAACAGAAAACCCCAAAGTAGAAAACCAGCAATCTTATTACCTCGTCGCCGGAATACACTATGCGGCTGGAACGTGGTATGAGCCTGTGGGGCGCAGTACAGTGGTGCTGGGGGCTTAGGCCTTTCTGTCGTTTTGTCACCTGCAAGGTGAAGGTCTTGGCGCTTAGGGTTTCAAGGGAACCTCGAAGACAACTACCTGTGAGCCTTTGCGGGGAGAAGTACCGGGGCCTTTCTCTCGCTCCTCCGCCTGCGCGATGCATTGCAGCTGATGCTCAAGCTCCTGAGCCACAGGAAGTTCCGAGCTGCGGCTTGGAACAACTAGCCAGGCCAGTGTCCCAAACAGCTAAAAGCAACAAGCCCTGAAACGCTGAAGCCGGAAACGCAGGAGCCAACAGAAACGAATCTTTAGGCTGGCGGCTTGCAGCTGATGTTCCACATCACCTGGAGCCGATGGAGTTTACAGGCTTTCGGGGTTCAAGGTTTACCTGAACCCTCGACAACCCACCGCTCTTAGAGTTCCATTTTGATTGTGAGTTCTTCCAGGCGTGTACCACCCTCAAGCTTCAGGGGCTCGTCAGTTTAAGCTATCTCCAGGCCGCAAAAACTTCTCGTAAAGCCCAAGCTCTTGGCACGAAAGCCCTCCCCATTCTGGACCCAATGCCGTTTTTCAAAGTAGGAACGCTTCCCGCAAACTGTTCTTGCTTCCAGGGAAGAAAGCAACACCTTGCAGAACCGCACTGTCAAGAATGAGACCAGAAAAGAAACAGGTTGGGAGTTGGAGACCTGAGCAAGACTAAACCCACTCGCAACCCCAAAACCTTGTAATCAACCCCCAGACCCTAACCCCCCCCTAAACCCTAAACCCCAACCCTAAACCCCGCAGAAATCCCAGGTTCAAGCCCTAAAGCCTTCAAACGACACATGCCTGGACAGGGCCGTGCCGATGACGTCTTGGCAGACGATTTGCTCCTGAAGCTCGCATTTGATGTTCTTACTCAGGATGTTCATGGGCCCCATTCGGGAAGAGCTTTGCAAGGGTGTTGTCAGAGAGTTTCGACTGAAGGGCTTGCATGCTCAAGCGTGGTTTCCTGGTATCGTTTAGAGACTCCAACATCAGGGTTTCTACTACCCCTGTCTTTACGGCCCCCTAATTACACTTGATACAGCACCCCGGCGAAGCCCAAATGCTCCTGTTGGATGCTCTCGGAGAATGTAAAGTACTCAAGGGGCTTGATGGGTCTATGAGGCATTGATACGGTTGCTTGCAGGCGCACTCGACCAAGCCATTCTAGGGTTCAGGCTTGTGGGTGACGGTGAAAGTAGACCTACATATCCAGGTGCACTTGTGTGTGTGTGTGCGCGCACATATGCAAAAAAAAATATGTGCACATGTCTAGTGATCATACCGCGGAGAAAATGCTTTGAGGGACGGTGCCTTTCAGTTTGCAGCCACGACGTCGAAGCAGCTCTCTGGGGGTCGTTAGCGTTGCTGGAAATCGCCGGAGATCAGATGCTTTGCATCTTGGCGAAACGCAGATCGTGAAACAACTACTTGCTACAGCTTAGTCAGGGGTTTGGGAATCTGGACCTGGACCCTCAGAAGCAGGAGCCTCATAGGAAAATCGAGGACCCTCACACTCCCAGAAGCTTTATAACAAAAAAACCTTTTAGGAAATGCGGGGGTCCCTTTAACCCACGTCTTCAGCAACTAAGTAACTTGCAAAACCGGCCCGAATAGTTACAATATCGTTCCTTCGGGCTCCTTCTTGTGCGATGATTGCCCCCAAAACCCTGTTCTAATCACTAAACGCCTTTGGAAATTCAATTGGTCGCGGCGCCAAGCGGCGCGCTGTCGGAAAACTTCAAAAGCTCTTGCCCCTGCTCTCCTGAGATCAGGCCGGGGTTGGAAGCGAGCTAAGGTTTAATCAAGGTTTTCCCGCCCGCCTAGAGCCATTTCGGATGTTTGCTTAGTAGTTTAGGGTTTAAGGCTGCCGTTGCAGGGTTTGGGGGTGCTCTCCTCAAACGTACCCAGCTATATACTGCTCTTTACCAAAATCACACAGCAAAGTGACCACACGCACCGAACACGAAGAAATCAGCTGACTACTGAACCGGAAAGCCCAGCTGTACCCCTTGATCCCTGAACACCTAAGCTTTAAACGAACCCTTGCAGTAAACCCCCTCGAATCCAATGAAATCCATGCAAGGCCCCCCCCCCTAGCTATCTATCTATTTATATGCAAAGCTATGTCAACCAGCTTAAGAACAAGTGACACAGTCATATAACCTGAAAAAGAAGAGAACTACAAAAGCGCTTTGAAAGTCGAAGTCTCCCCAGGGAAGATGTGGTCTTTCTTCGGAGCTTCCGAGGGTGGTGGCTTCGGGCCAGCCTTGAGGCGGGAGGAGCTCTCTGAAGGCTTCTTAAGGGATCTATAAAGAATTCTGAATACATGGTTTCTATGAGTCGATAGAAGTTCTACGATGGGCTTTACGGCTCGGTTAAGGAATTTTGGGTGAATGGTGGCTTAGCGCTGAAAGAACCTGTAAAGTCAGAGACTGGAACCGAAATGCTTATAGTGTATCCCTGCACTCGATATCCCAAAGCCCTAAACCCCACCAAAATAGCCAAGAGGCCCTCTCCACTTGGGTTTTTCCTGGCCTTTCTCTTCACAAACTTCTTCCGCTTCTTCTTCGAAGGATCTCGGCCCTCGTCGGCCTCGGTCTGATCCTGATGGGCGAGCACTTCTTGGATCCGTGCATTAAGTGTACTTCACAAGTTAGGTAACTACACTATGTGTAGCTATGCTATGTACAGACAGATGCAGCTCTTGGTTGATTTGGCTGTCCTTTTACTTGCCTGTCCAATATGTTTGATTGTTGCTGTCATGCTGCGGTAGTTCTACTGTGGGAAAATGTCGGCATGTATGTAGGTACGTATGTGTGAATATGCATGCACTTGTGTGTATATAAATAAATACATATATATATATATATATATGTATATACAGATAGGTATACATACATACATACATACATACATACACACATACACACATACATACATACATACATACATACATACATACATACAGTGTACATGCGTCGCATATGTCGATTTGTAGTGTTTTGCCTACTTCTGTCCATTCTACAGCTCTGTGATGCCTCGTTCAGCGGGCCCGGGACCGGTGCATCTCGGGAGCAAGCTGCACCTGCGGACGCCATTGGTTCGGCAGAAGGGCCCACGGCGACGTTCTTTACGACGCCCACATCTGTGCTTCCACCATGCGCGACATGCTTTTCGTTCCTTCGGCTGAGCGCGTGATCAGTCTGCGAATCCTCTGCAGTCTTGCTGGACCAAAGATTGAGCTCACCGGTCTCTACGTCAAAGCCAAGCTCCAGGAAGGCATAGAGCAATATGTTGAAGAGCAATAGACCTGTGACTTTCACCAAACTCATAGTAAACCTTAAATGATAGTAGTATGCTTCATGGTTGCTCATAGCAACCCTTATCATGACAGAAGCCTGCTTTTTGGTTATGCGGACATTGTGACGTTGAGAAGCCCTCACCTGTGAGGCCAGCAACTTCTCTGATCGGCGCATAGCCGCACTTCGTCCGGGCAAAAGCCAGGGACACCGCTGCACAGCCGGCCGTCTCGAGCCAGCGAATCGGTAAGCATCGCTTCGTTCCGTCATCAGGGGTATCTTTCAGCTCAAACTCCGGAACGAATGCATCATCCTCGTGATCTTCACGTCGTGGGCTACCCTTCAGAAGCTGGGCAATGGGGATTAAGTACACTCCAAAAGCAGCCGAAAAAGCCAATCTCATCCTGCTCGCACTGTTGCCCTTCCGTGCAGCGTTCAGACATGTGGCCACCAAGCCCACTGCGATCAGCGTCAGTCCGAAAGGTCGGACCTCCGAGGATAAAACCAAAGCAAAGCCTGCGGCTCTTAGGGCTTGGTCCGTAGTCAACCAGAGGAAGGCCACGAAGCGGTAGATTGGCTGGGAGAGTGGCCCCTGGTTGTGGTCATGTGAGAGACATAACTTCACCACCCCGTATGCCAAAGAAATCGCAGAGACCGACACCGAGGCGATGCCGACAGGGTCCCCATGTCCACCGATAGAAAAGAGGATGTAAGACTGCAGGTACAGTTGTGGGGCGCTCTCCAAGAGCTTGTTATAAAGTTCTCGAAGTCTCATTGTCTCGTACCGACCACTGCCGAGCTCCGGAATACCGAAGCAGAAGGCCATTGCACCATCCACCAGATAGTTCAGTTGCGCAAGAGACATCAGAAGACACGCCAGGAAATAGGTCAACTTGCCAGGGGCTGTCTGAAGAGGGGTCACTCTCGTTTCAAGAGATCGTTCGGCCCAGACAAGGCTTTGAACCAAGTTAGATGTTAAGAGCATGAAGCAGCCAATTCCAAAATACCAGGCATGGACCTCGCAAGTTTGACCCCCAGCGGTATCTGACGGACAGCCGGTGCTGAGGTTTCCAGGCAAGACACCTTGTCACGGTCTTGGAGGCTCTTTCACCATATGTACCACTATACAATGTGCACCCCATGTTGCCGTCTAGACCAAGGTGGAGACCCCAACCCCGGAATCCCAAACCTACAAATCTAAGGTGAGGCACAGCCATACTGCAGGACCACCCAGAGATCCAAGTAGAAGTCGGCCCAATTCAAGGCAGCGGTGAAGAGGAGGCCAAGAAAGAACTGCGTTCTCTCCGAAGGCGCTGCAGAGACGAACACATCAGCCGTTTCTTCCATGGCCACATCGCCCTACTGCCGCTCCCTGTAGGTTCTAGACTTCTAACTAAACAGTAGGTCTGTGTGTTATGCTTGATCTTTGGCTACCTCGCTAAAGTCTGGAGAAATCGATCTCGAGCGCCCCTTGTAATATCCAGAAAAGAATGAAACTGCACGAGGCAAGGGCACTCTCACATATCACCGCTGGGCTCCATCTACTTCGGTCCGGACAGCTGTGAGCTTCATATCACGGTATATAATCATGTACAGTATACAGTCCATCACAGTATACTGTAATAATACATATATGTATATGTATGTATGGTAGTACATTAGAGGTATTTCGAAGTATATTCCTCCCCGAGAAAGACCAGTGGACAGCATGATCTAGGGAGCAAGCTCTGCCATGACCCAAAGCCCTCCTTTTGGCTTCATCTTCCTCGGTTACGGTTTGCATTCGGCGTCCTGCTCATCCCGGCCGTGGAGGAGCTACGGCCTGCAGCGCGAGCTGGAAGGTTGCTCAACAATCAGGTCGCTTACAGCAGTAGTACCGGTTGTACGTATAGCTTTATCTAGTTTGATTGTAGTCTTAGACTGGCTGTAATCTCAACCTTCGTCATGGGGTGACAGCTGCATTTACGCTACATAGGCCTGAAGGTTGAATGCTGAAGGTAGAAATGGCTAGCTTCGGATAGCAGGGCGCAGATTTGATTTGTTCATCCATGCGTTCTGAATCAAAACCGGTGCTTAACACGCAATCCCCTCCTCAGAACCCTCATCCCGATCATACCGAACTTGAGATGTTACATCGGGGGATACTGTGCTACATGGGTCCCTCAGCTCTCCGTGCGCATTTTTTGTCTTGTTGCGTTTTCTATTCCAGGGTCCTTCAAGGCTTTCTTGAGGATGCTGGGCTTCAAGCCCCGGGTTAACGAAGCCCCTCCTGGCATTAGGATCCCTGCTAGATGTATGAGGCCAGAGGTGATGAAGACTTAATGAAGGTTCGTGTGTACATAAACGACAAAACGGACACACACGCACACATGCAGACACGCACGCACTTACATGCACATGTACACACATATGCATGTATCTACATATGGATACATATGAATATATACATATATATATATATATATATATACACACATACATACATACATACATACGTACATACATACATACACATACATGTGTTTATACATACATATGCAACTGTATCATACATATATATATATATATATATGTATATATGTATATGTATATGTATATATATATATATATATATATATATATACAGAGAGAGAGAGAGTCAGATATGTACGTACGTCTTTGTGTTTGTTGTACACACTTTACACGTGTGTGTAAGTACATTCTCCTGGAAGGAGCTTACAGTGCGGGGAACTCTCATGCAGTAGGTCTAGAATCACACGATTCCAAGGAAAATCAACAAGCCTTGTTTCGTCTGCACGACCTTCAGCCACCCTCAATGCACTGTTTTGTGGGTTTGTGAGGATTAACTTGCTGAGCTGCTGCTCAACTACTCCAACATGTACCCGCACCCGATTCGTAAGGCAATGAAGGCCATGTCAACTCCAAACCCAAGACCCCAAGAATAATCTTCGTCTTGCTTGCAATACCTCAGCCGAACAAGTGAACCCTTCATGCTGAACTCCAGTTGGTGCCTGAGTGCTGCTCCTCCACTTGCGTCGACTCGGGCAGCTCCTGTTGGAGCTGAACGATGCCGTGATTCTTTGTTATGGAATATTAAGTACTGGTAGCTGCCCAGAAACCCTTGATCAAGGGTATGCTCTTTATCAACCTAATCAGGAAGCCTACTGGGCGATCTCCTTATGCCTAAGCAACACCCAGATCCCTGAAGCCCGTAATTAAACCCTGGAGTTCTCATAGCCATGAACCAGAAATGAGAGTTCATCTAATGTACAAAGCCATCCATATTGACTGGCTTGGCCTGCAGCTGGAGATGTGCAACTTCACCTGGCGAGCCAGAGCCCTCAGTCAAGCGATTCCTTCTAAATTATTTCTACTAAGGTTCCGTGGCATTCACGATAGTAGAGTTTATAGGCTTCGGGAAAATGGGACTTAACAGTTAGGTTAATCAAGCCTTCGGGGCACATGACAGTGCAACAATAGTGAGGAGCCCTAGGAAATATATCAATCATTCAAGCCCCTGCATGATGCCTGGAGGCTCTTTGGACCCGGTCGGATCTGCTGAAGTCTAGGAGTGTGCAAGTAGGGTTTTTGGTACACTTTGTAGGGTTTTGGGGGTGATGGGTTGTGCCTTGTTTGGGGGTTGAGTCTACCGAGCCCGTCGTTTTTCCATACTGCACTTAAAATTCTGCGTTTTCAGACGCGTAGATGCTGAACATGACTGCGCGCAACGCCTCCTTCGAGGGCGGGTAGGTGGGTGGATGGCTGGTTCGGTGACGCGAAGGTGGATTTCAACTGTCTTGAACAAAACATAATACAAGTCGACGTTGAATGTCGAAAACCAAACAGAGCCACGCCTCGCTAAGCCCCTGAAGCCCAAAAATCCTGAAAGCCGAGGCCCGAAGGAACCCCAAAGCCAGAAGGCCTAAAAAATTAAGCCTACAAGCTCCACACCGAAAGCTCTAAACCATCCCGCTTCCTTGAAGGATGTCGTGGCCTCTGCGCCATCGGTTCCGTACGAGATCGCCGTCGCTCCGCCGTCGCTGTGTCTCTGAGCGACCGGGGAAGCCTCGAACAGCTTTCCGTGGCTTGGGGTTTAGGGCTTCCGAGACGGCTCCTGTAGGGTGCTTTGGGAACTGTTTGGGGTTGAGGGTTTAGTATATACCGGCCATGCTCATTGGAATAGGGTGATGGGGTATGCCTGTGTTATAGGTTTCATACGAAAGAACACTCAAGAACGGTCTTATGAAAGTATTCCGCCCATACTCCAATCTAGAAGGATCTCCAACTCGCGATTCTGGGGTTTAAGGTAGAAGCTTAAGGGATCAGTCTGTAGGTTTACAGAGATCATCCGAGGGTCTCTTCTTCAAGATCACACAAAATCGCTGTTTTGGAGTTTTGACCGAAGGGCTTGGGTATCTGTGGGTATGGGTGGCTCTCTAAACCAAGGCGTTTTTGGGGAGCGTGGCCAGGAGGATATGTCACACTGATTTTGTTTATAGGTCATACCCTGAAGCCCAGGCTGGCGCGGGTTTGACATACCATACGTGTTATGGGCGCAGGGTGAGGTTTGCGGCTACGGTGTGGGTCGACCTCGCAGGAGGCATCGGTATCGGTGATCATTAGCATGTGTTCGGCTGTTTCTACAGCATTTATCAAGACCAGCAACACATGTCCACGCTGCAAGCTTTGTGGGAGAGTGAATCGCAGCCTGGACCATAAACGTCCCTCATGCCCCCCGACCAATAACGATAGCTGCAGCTTCACACGATCGGATGTGTAGCTGGGCTCAGAGAGCCCATGGGTTCGGGATATGTCGGAGTCAGGTGTCCTGCTGGTGTGATTCCCACTGCTAGGAAGAGTAGGCCCAAGCATTCCGGTCCCCCAAGATTAAGGCTTTTCGACCCGTCGAAGACCACGTCTCAACCCTACACCCAAAGCCGCCTTGACATGCCTGTGCCGGAGCCTTGGCGCCCGGAGGCAGGAGGAAGGGCTTGCTCCTGCAGCCAGGTGACGGACTCCGACAACGGTTTTTCAGTCCGAACCTAGGGTTGAAACACGACTCAAAATGTATGAAGTCGGCAACTAGGGGGTGCACACAGGAATGTAGTAGAAGCAGCAAGCGGTACGTACGATCTCTACACAATGATCATAAGAAGACAACTTTATGAAGGCCTGACCACCCCATAGCAACGACGAGAAAGGCCCATGCTGCGGTCTGGCAGCCAGTCCTGTGCAGCGCCGTCGCTGAGGTGCTGCGACCTCGACATGTAGGTGTAGGGTATACAGTAGAAGCCAGAAAGTTGGAACATCATTCTCCTCATAAAGAAGAGGGAATCCTAGCAGTAATCATCCTAAATCCATATTCCAACTTTCTGGGGTTCACTATAAAGTTTCGGCGCTCACACTCGGACGGACCACAAGCGGGTCTAGAGTCTAGGGTCTATAGTGCCTTCGGGTCCAAGTAGGTGTGTTGTTGCTTTAGGAGTACAGGTCGTGGGGTTTCCATTGTTTGGGTTGGGAGAGTTGTGTAAGGGTGCAGAGATGTTATTGGTTTTGTTCGGGCGTGTCCTTGTCTTACTGCGGCTGTGTGACATTGTCGGGTTTGTCCCGATAATTAGTCAACATAATAAGGTCCTTCGAAGTCGTCATGCGTAATACCGTAATGCAGGAGTCCTTCTCAAGTTCAGACTGGATTGGGCTTAAAGCTCGGCACCTGAAAACTCTGGAGAAACCCGACATCCACTCGTCGCGACTTTTCGGAAATCCCCCTTGGCCGCTGACCCCGGCGAAGGCTGCGCGGGCTATCAGCGGCAGGCTGTCCTGCACTTCTGGGCGCTGAACTACCACGCCAGTAGCCTCATCGTTCGCACTTCGGAAAAGACGTCGAACAAGCAGCAATTAGTAACTTGCCCCAGCTCTCAAACATGGTTCTTCATACACCGCCTGCCTTCTGTCCCTTCCATCTTGCTCGGTTTCGGCCCCCTGCGGGCAAAGGGAGCGACGCAGAGACAGACTCAGGGTGTAGAGCTTTGGGTCATAGGGGCCTCGGGCTTTAAAAAACTTTAGGTTTCTCAGGGTTGCAAGTTGCAAATTCTAATCGCGTGGGGCTTTAAGGTAGCCGAAGCAGTCAGCCTGAGGGCAGCAGCCGATGAGCTTCGCTGCGGACCTTTCTCCAGCGGGCAGGAGGCTTATGGAGTTCGTGACTCCTAGGGTCAAAGGCTCTCGACAGCTATGGGGTTTACTATTTTTGGGTTCGCGGGCTTGCTTCTTATAGGGCTTTGCGTTTCAAGGGTGTATGAATTCGTCAATATATATATATATATATATATAGCTTTGGTGTTAGCTTTCTGGCTGACAGCTGTCACGAGATTCTAACCTCCTGAAGCGGGTGCAAAGTCCGGTTCTCTTGGGATTGCAGTTTCATGGCAACCTTAGCATAAAGTAAGCACCTTATAATCATGTACTCTTCCAAGCACGAGCCTGCAAACTACACTGCCCTATCCTACGCCCAAGGGCCCAATGATCAGGCCGCTTGGAGCTATGGGGTCATTTCAAATAGCTATGTCAGAGCTGGGTTTCGAAGTTGAACCTGCTAAAGCCAATGCATAGACCCCAACCCCTACCCATGTCCTCCTCACTCGCGCAAAGGGAACTTCCCCGAAACCAACGGGGTTTGGAGGCTCTGTGGATACTTACGCTGAAATCTCTAAGGCCCTACGGTCCAGAACCCAGAAGCGGGATTGGCCCTTTTCGGTATTTCAAGCGGGTGACCTGGTCCGGAGTCGGGGCTCGTCGGTGGTGAGCTGCTGCGGCGGGCCGGGATGGCAGATCTGCCTCCTTTCAGCCAGAAGGAGATCGGGTCCCAGCAGGTGAGTATTCCGGGCTGGAGCTTCGGACATGGATGTAGGCCTCAGAGTTTTGGGACGCTTAAGGCACTGGTTCAGGGGTGGGGGTCCAATACATCCGTGGAACATACTTGCTTTGTGTCTAGACCCAACCACCCTGATTAAAATTCAAACATTACATGAAGTTTCCTGTTGAATTGGAGACCTGGAGACCTTGGTGAGTGGTATTTGGGGGCCGGGGCTCTTGCAGTCGGACTCGCACAATGAGGTCCCAGGCCTCAGGCGATCAGCCACCTCAACTCTCCATTGCGGTTCCTGTTATTGGGCTATCTTATAATTAAGATCCCGAGTACGTGCTGGGTTAGACTTAAAAGGAACTGCGATAGAGACTACAGGTAAGGCTGTAAGTGAGGTTGAACATTCATGTGCACAGCGAGCATCAGCACAACCAAAGGAGAACATGGCTGAGCTTCAAGTGCATGCCCCGGAGACCGTAGCAGCCCGCATATAGCCGCAAACTCAAACCTCAAGCCCTAAAGTATTTCACTGTCAGCCTCGTTTGTGCGTTTCCGAAAAAATCGACGGCACTTCCTGCTGCACAAGGTCCTCACTTGTCAAATCCTGATCTCCAAAGCACTCTAGATCCGAATGCCCGGAGGCCCTGAACCCTAGATCCTGAATTCTTAAACCCCAAAAACCCCTTACCCCAAACCCTCCTGAAGCCTCCAAAAACCCCAAAGCCCCGAAGGCCACATTCTCGGTCGCTCACCTTTCTGAGCGATGCCGCGGTCGTCCCTCTTGCAAGGCACGGCCTCGCGAGTGAAGTCATGTTGGCGATAAGGGTCAAAGCTGATCCTAATCATAAACCCGAGTCGTGACTATACCTACTATACTGAGATCATACAATCCTCCTCATTCAACACCAGTATGAATTCGTCACAGACCACCATCATCGAAGTTGCACCATCATCCTCATCACCACCACCATCAACACAACCCTCATGACCATCGTCATCATCATCATCATGGCCGTAGCAGTAGCCAAACTCGTGAAACGAAAACCAACTTCATGCAACTTGCACTCTGGTGCTCAACCCGTGTCCGCTCATAGAGTATGTCCTACCAGCTGCTTGGGGATCTCCAGAGTGCGACGACTTAAGGAATCCATGCAGCCTTGGAATTGCTCGGGCGAACGGATGGGGGGGCCTGAGAACTTAGGGCAATGACTTGAAAGATCGGGAAGCACCGAACTCGGGGGTGTCACATCCAAACTGTATTGGCTGTATTGGCATCCCTTCATTCGGCTACTATCATCTGTCTTCTGAAGTCGGACGTCGTAACTTGCTCAAACTCCCAAACAATCAACCCTGTACAAGACAAGTGCGCGATCTCCCTCGCCCGCTTTCGTCTAGGTGGAATGCAGGCTCGACATGTAGTACTCCCAAATACCTGCATGGAACCAAGAACTCCAATAGTAACAATAACAACACCCTCAGAAGTTCCAAAATCCCAAGCTTCTCAAGACCAGACAACACCAAACAAGCAAACACACAAACGACACCCTACAACCCTGAACTTTCTTAAACCCCCCCAAATTTCGAAGTCAAAACGAATTGCTCGCCTCCATCGAGGCATTCGTGGCCTTGCCGTTGGGAACCGAGGAGGCTCGCCTCCTTCGGCTGTTCAGAAGGCGCCATGAGGGCTCTATAGGGGCTTTGGGTTTAGGGTTCAACAGACGGGTTCTGTATGAGGGTCCTACATAGGGGTTTAGGGGTTCATTCCAGGCGTCTATCTGAAGGTTTAGGATGTAGGGCTTGGGGTTCTAGATGAGGGTTTTTTTCCTTTCTTCATGAGGGTTTTGTTTTTATGAGGAACCTGTCGGGGTATAGGATGTCGCTCCCGTCTGCAGCGCTGGACGTGCAACCGCCGGCGGGTGTACGGCCGAGCTCGCACGGTTCCTGCACAGCTGGCCAATGGGTTACACGCCGCCACTGCGGTTAAGCCCTTTTCCGCTTCGAATTCAGAATGCACGGGCCGTTGGCGTGCCTGGCCGCCGCCAAAGGTGGTGCTTCCCTCGGAGGAGTAGGCCCGACGAACAAGCCTTGTCCATTCCGTCTTGATGAGACGAACCTGCTCGGTTTTCCCTATATCCCTCATAACATATCGAACCCTGAACCCTGAAACCCTGTATGGGGCACTATAGCCTTTCCATGTGCTTCTAGAGGAGGGTCTTGACTGGGGGCCTCCTGCCACAGGTCTGGGCTCTGTTGTTTAGAATCCTATCATACACAGGGTTGAACTAAGGCTTGTAATGTTTGCGATAAGCCGTGGGCGGTTGGGGAGTTACGCCGCATTAGGCTTCAGGAATGTACTCGAACTCTCCAAAACCCAGCTGGCTCCTCGAACCTACCTCAAGTCCTACACCTTCCGTTTAGAGTTGGTCGACTATTTCGATAAAAGGCATTCCTTGCTTGTCAAGGCCCCAGTGTATCCAATACCGCTTGCTTGAGGGTCACTTGTTAACAGAAATCCGTGATCGCCCCTTGGCAATCCACAGCTCCCTAATTTTATAGAACCTGCCGGATGTAAGCTGCTAGTTAGGGGTTTCAAGTTGAAGGCTAACAGGGAAAACATGACAGATCTCAAAGACAGGCATTGTAGGGTCCAAATCGCAATGTAGTCAGCGGAAGTATGCCGCACAGAGGTATGAGTACCCAACAGTGAAAACCTACGGAACTTGAACAACATGATCTTGCTGTGACTTCCCTGCTATGCCACCTTCCAAGTCCATTTGTTGGTAAGGCCCGTGTGCCATATAGGATCCTGTAGATAAGCCCACCAAAGACACCTGTTGAACTTTAACCTAACAGTTCAAGCCCACCTCAACCCCAAACCCTTTTGCAACGAGGTCTCCCTGAAGTGCCTCCAGCAATATGATTTCATCAACCTCTCTCGCTTTTTCAAGAGAGACAAAGGCAACCCTGAAACCTAAACATACCTAAACCCCCACGCCCCAAACCCGAAAACCTAAACCCTAAACTCTAAACCCCGAAAGCCTGAACCCTAAACCCCTAAAGCCTGAAACCTGAAACCTTCCCATGCTTCCCTTTCCGCACACTCGCGTGACGGGTCCTTCCGGGGCCTCGGAGCCTCCTCACTTCCTGGTCAGAAGGGTTTACAGGTCAGGACAGGGGACTTCTCGGTTCTCTACAGTATGAGGGTTTAGGGCAAGAGCTTATAGGGCTTATAATACCGTATTGGGGTTTAGGGTAAGAGTATATATGGTTTTTAAGTGCAGTGGGACTTTATCCGTGAGAGGGTGAAGTGTTTTGGGTTTCGGGTTCTTCTCTACGGGGTGCGTATAAACGGATTTTAGGGGTTCAGGGTTTGAGGCTTTTGTGTTGTGTACTGCTGCTATAGAGGCTTCGTAGGGATTCACTTACAAGAGCCTCAAGGGAGTCCCCCTCTCCCCAAGCTTGAAGAGGCCGTGTTTGGGATTTCTTGCAACTTAAGGTCCCAACTAATGCTGCGAGCAAGTCCGCATGGATGACTACATGGAGATGCACGAATGTGCAGGCCCCGATGTGCTTCCAGTACATGAGCTGAGCATCTCTGCGTCCCTCCGTCGGTCCGTCTGCCGTCTGTCCAATGGGGTCAATAGGGGCCCTCCCTGATTGCTTTCTGCGGCCATTCGTATAGGGGCCTTAATAACCGGAAAAGGACAGCCGGGCATACAAGAAGAATAAACTTAAGGAGTAGTCTGAGGAATGAGTCTCATCCCTTATGACAAAATACCCTGGCACATCCTAGTACAAACATGTTTCGTGAATCCGCGCACTCTAAGTCCTGAAGAGCCGACAAGCGGACACCAGTCCCCCTGAAGGGTTGCATACCAAAGCCCCCAAAAGGATGGTTTCACGGTGCTTGGGGTACGAATGGTATGGGAGTGTTCCCAGCCGATCCAGCCTGGTACAGAGCCTGGCGGTGCAGTTTCGCTTTGTGGAGCTGCACCTGCAAGGAGGCTGCAGGGGTGTTTACCAGCAAAAGCACACGCATACAATCTGCTTTCCTGTGGGCTCCAGGTTCAAGATCCTCCTGAAGGGTGTTTAAGAAGGGCGAGGGCTTCCAATAGAAGACCGTCATGCGAAAAGCCTGATGCAACACCGCGACGCCCCTAGCGGACCATCCGGGATACTGCTCATATTTGCTAAGTACAAGTGCTACAGGTCAGACTCTACATTACATTCCAATTCCACTACGTGATCCTTCAAATCAAGCACAGCAGCACCTTTTGGTCTTCTGAGAGCGCCAACATCTCCTGATGCTTTGCCTGGGGTGATGGATCTGGTTTTGGTTGTCTTGTTCGGGTTTTGGATTGGGTTTGGAGTTTGGGTTTAGGCTTTCTCTCCTCTTGCTTGTGTGTGTGCGTTTCTCGACGGCTGTGAACTGAAGAAGACATTGGGAGCTGTCACGACTTTACTGTAACATACAGACAAGAGCACACATTCACAGAAAGCAGGACCGGCAATGCGAACTAATGTTGCTGACTGTCGCCGTACCTCCTCCTCAGTTTCGTCAGGGCGAGGCTGAGGCTGAGGCTATCTTAGCATTTTACTTCGCGGTGCCAAGTCGCCGCCAACCCCGTAGACCGTAGGCCCTACACTTCATCAGCCCTATACTGTGTGGGACGCCGTGTTCTTCGCGTCGCATGCAGGGTTGGCTTGCTTTTAAGTTTCGAGACAACAACGTGTATTTGAAACATGAGGATTTGGACGAAGCTTCGAACAGATCTGGCTTGCCGTTCTGCGTTAAGGCTGGTCTGTTGTACTATTTGGGCTCGGGCTTTAGATGTGCTTTTGGGGGGGAAATATGTTAGGCCCTAGATGTCTTTTCCACCATCCTTCTCTCGTTGTGGCTTCAGGCCTTGCGGTTTTGCTGGAATCTGGACCGGGTTAGGGCTGAAGGTTTAGGGTTTGGGGACTGGTGAGCAACAAGCACGTTCCCGAGTCACAGAGAGCTTGGCGATCTCGGCATTCAGAAACTTTGTCTTCCTGGGCTTGAAATCTTTTGTCAAGTGAAACCCTTGTCGAACACATGCAGAATAGTTTTTTGTTTAGCACAGAAAACCAGAAACCCTAATAACTAATAGGAGACCTGAAAGTAACCTCTATACAACCCTTCTAGTAGCCCGGCCGAAGGTCTTGCGCTCTTCCAGCTGCTGCAGGAGCATCTGCTGCAGTGCGGAGACCCTGGCCTGCACAAAAACGATGCCCTAGACCAGGATTTACAAGGCTTTGCAAGGGTTTATCGGACATTTATGAAAGGGTCTATAGGGGGTTTTACATGTTTAGCAAAAACGGCTTTTGCAAGGTTTGACACGCCGCTTCTGGTGTAGAAGAACTTTCCCAGTTTGTACTGCTGTGTAAACAAACATACATACGGCTTCTGCTTCTGGTTTATTGCAAAACCCCGGCTCACTCGAACCCCCCCTGGGTGGGCCTGGAAGCAACAACGCTCTAGAGAGTTTTGGCCAGACTCGACTTGACTTCCATACTCGTGTTTTCCAATCCCGATTTTATGTCGAAGTTCTCCGTCGAGCTTGTGGATGCCAGCAGCCTCCCCTTAGGCTAGCGGCTAGGAACTCGTCACCATGGCAGGAGAAGCTGACGTCCCATCCAGGGTGGTGCGAAGGCAATTCCGGGAAGCCGCGCGGACCGGAAGCCTCACCTCTCCGCGTGGTCCACCGCTTTGAGGGTTCCCTGGTGCCATGCATGGCCTTCAAGGGAAACCCATGGTACAAGCCTTCTTTTGCCGCCTGCCCAAAATCCATGGGCAACAACAACCCCTCCAAGCCTGGAGATGTGCTTGTTTTTGATACGTACCCGATGGTTTCGTTACTGGGTAATAAGAAATCAAGGCAGCCCACATGGCCTCATGAAGGAACTAATTCCTTCGTCGAGGCAAATCCGAGCTCCGAACCCCTACTTAAGGGTTTCAGCGGATATCCACATCTCAAGCCCATCCTAAACCTTAGACACAACACCCAGCATCAGCAAACAACCAGGGGCCCAAACCATGTGACCCACCGAGGTCTTGAAACAAGCCTGTACACTGTAAACGAGTTGGCGCGTTGTTGTAGCATTTATGTTATTTTCCGCTCGGGGCGTTAGATGGGGCATTAGGGTTAGCGGCCGGATGTTTTCCGCACGAGGTTGAGGCTTGTCTCGACTGACCCCGAAGCCCTTCTTGCGGTTCATACCCGGTGCTGTGGGGAATTACGGCATGTAGCAATGCTCTGATTGGTCCACAAAGAGCATGTCTGACATCTGTTTTGAGCCCAGACTATGACTCTGCCGATGAGCTAGGCAGACATCCTGAACCCTAAACCATGCAAGCCGTGCAAGCCCTATAATAAACCCGAAAGTTGTTTCAACACCAAGAGCCTACATCTTCCCGACTAAACCTTTGGACTCCAAACGCCTTGTTGTTGCAGATCTGTTGCTCTTGGGTGAGCAAAACTTCGTACATCTCGTGCAGGGGCCTCGAGATATCGAGAAGATTTCGGTCAACAACAGCTTAGGATTGAGGGTCAGGCTTGAAAGGCTTGCGGTAGTGTTGTGCTGCAGCATCGCAACATACATAGATCTATCGCGTGCTCGGCACATGTACACCCGCCCCACGGCATCCAAGACGGCCAGACCACCCAGACCTATTCTGTCTATGGCTTATAAGCCCTGAGAAACCAACAAGGAGACACGCAGGGCCGAGTTCTACCCCCCCAAAAAAAAGTACGAGTATCTTGCTCCGGTCCAGATGAAGTGCAACATTCCCTAAATCCCCAACCCCTACTAGGACTCTGGCGAGGCTTTCTGGTGTACTGGGTCACTTGTGCCGTCGAGGTCAAGCGACATGAGCGTTGCTTTACTGTCGTAGGTGGGCCACTTAGGCCTTGAATCTTATAGGTTAAGGGGTTAGGGCTTAGTTGCTTTGGGCTTAAGGGCTTCCTGAGTTTGCTGCTGGCCTGGGCAGAAGGGTGGCATCAGACAACCGATTTTTCCGACTCCGGCAAACTCGAAGACAAAAACTCTCGAGTCCCTCCACTGACAAACCAGCTCCGTCCCCACACACCCTAAACCCTGAACCCTTGCCGTCAAAAACATCTCTTTTCAGCATGGGCTTGGATTGTGTGCCAGCGAACACTCCTCAACAGCAGAGCCTTCTCGTTTGACGAGGGATGCAAACGCGGGAGTGAGAGAAACACGAAAAGGGAAGAAGCGTCGACGATCTCCTGAACTAACTTCCGAAGTACGACCTGAACGAGCGTCAAATTAGACATCCGGCATGGGGCAGCGTAGAGACTGCAAGTGCTGGAACTGCTCATCCGGCATAAACTCACAAAGCAACGACTTTCCATGAGTGACCCACATGTGGTCTTGCAGATTCGGCATGATCGCAGCAAGTTCATCTTGATGTAGCTGGCTTACACAGACTTGAATAACCCAGGCATTGCCTAACATGAGGGACATGACGATGGCATAGCTCCACTGAGCAACATCAGACGTGTGCGCCAGAGTGTTGTACAACCAGCCTTCCTCAGGACATCTCTACACCCTAAACCCCCGACCCCAAAACTCCAGGCTCCCCACAGACTCGTAGAGCCCACTGCCGGCGGCGAGGGCGGTGGCGGGGTTTGCCGCGGCCGCTCGCGCACGACGCGGGGCCGGGAGCCTTTCATGCTGAGGCCTTAAAGGAACGCTTTAAAAACCCCTTAGTTTACCTTCTTAAAACAACCGGTATAGTACCCTTTACAGGACCCATCATGCCAATCGCAAGGGGGTATGGGGTCCCTACAGCTCAGTGCTCGCGGTTTGGATGAAGGGTTACGTCCGGCATTTTGGGGTTTTCATACTGTGGTTTCGGGTTGTGTAGGGCTTCGGGTGTTGAGTTGGGACTGGGGTTTCGGGCCCTACCGTTTACGGGTCTGAGTACAGACTATAGGGTTTGGGATGAATGTTTAGTAGGGCCCTACGGTTTCGGGTTTTGGGTAAAGGGTTCGGGATGAAGGTTTAGGGTCCGAGGGCTTAGGATTTTGGCATTGGGATTACGGCCTATATAGGCCCTGCTGGGGATGCAGGGTTTGGGGTATACAGTAGGGACTGGAATTCTCAAGTTTAAGGTTTTACTGTTTGGGGTTTGGGGAATATGCAGTATTCCAAGCCGGTAGCTCGGGAGGATACTACCGCCGTTGCTGTTTCTGCGGGGATGGGGTTTGGGATACATTCGGGCGCGCGTGGGTTTGGGTCTTGGGTTTGGGATGAAGGTTTAGGACTGGATGCTCTCGGGTGTTGGGACCTGGGTTTGTGATTTTGATTCAGGTGTAAAGGAATTTTAAGGGGCATGGCTAGGCACAAATGATCAGCCGTAGTCCCTCAATATATACATACACAACAGCGTTTTAGCCGCTGAAGCGTTACCCCTAAACCCAAACCCGAGCCCTAAATCGTTCAATGCATCCCCACAGTTCTTATGTCTTGAAGCCCCAGAGCCTGGAACATCATGCTTATGGGTGTACCATATAATTCCCCAACTCCAGCAGTAAGAAATTACTTATACATAATTACTGAGGGCTTTCTATGTGGGGGTTCTTGCCACCGCGAGGCTTGGTGTCCCGAGTCCCCAGCAGGAACTGAGTCCCTCCATACTCCTCACTGCAGAGACTGAGAATAGAGACATGGGGTTGCGCGTGTTAGGGTCTGCAGGTCAAGGGAATAACGGTATTCGTTTCGTGAGACGTTTCAAAAATTCAACAGACTGGAGCTTCTATGGTTGCAGAGGTTCACTTCACGACAGAGGACGAAACTGCTCGGGTCTTCAAGGTCCTATAAAATTGACCCTGGAAAACCGACCCTTTTCAGTGACTTATATTATATGAGGACATCAGAACAAGGTTTGGGCCTAGGGTTGCAGCTGAAATCCTAAATCCTAAACGATCCCAAGTCCCTAAACTAGGTCTCACGATGTCGACGTCGAAGGGTTCGGCTCAAATCCCTCCTCGACCATCCCAGCGAACTCGGAATTGATGCATCCTCCGTGAACCCACATTTCCTCAAGGGCCTTAATCTCTTCAGATGTTTCGGGGTTTAAGGTTTAGGATCCCCTTCTACCCCTTATTTCGGGAGGTGGGGGGCTGGTAGCCACGGTTGAAGCACACGCAGAATTGTCCGAGCCATACCATGGGTGCCAAACCAGAACGCTTAATATAGGGGCCTTAAAAATTCGAATAGGGTTTTGGGCCCATTATACTGCAATCATAAGAAGGAACCCCCAAAATAGTGTTGGTAATTATTTCAGCCCCTATAGTTATCTGGAGGCTCAAAGCCAAGCTCCAACAGCGACCCCCCATGCAAGCTCCTAAAACTCCAAGGTTTAGGATTTAGGCTTCAGATGACTTCAGAGCACAGCCCCGTAACCCGGTGAGCCGCAGGAGACTAGCATCGAGTCAGGTCTCGTGGCTGTTGTCGCCGAGAAGGAATTTGGTGAAACCTTGCACCCGATGCGAGGAATCGCTGACAATTCGACACTGAGGTCGCTACACTACACGTATGGTATGTCACGCAACTCCATGCCAACTTGATCTATGAAGATCTTTGCCTCCTAGGCCAGGTTATGTAGTGTCCACCCAAGATATATGACGGCCTTGTTCATTCGAACAGGTTCTACGGCTTTGGGAAAATTTCATCGTTTGTACTTACGTTAAGGAACCACAAGGAATAATAGTTATTGGCAGATCCTCAGGCTTCTCTATTGCGGGCTCACGTCCTTTGGACACGTTGGTCCTTGCCTGCAGCTGACAAGCTAACAGCTACAGCTACCGAAGCATATGACCGCGCACATATGGAGAGCCTGAACCGCCTTTTTGAAGGATTTACGCTGTAGGGCTTGCCTGTTTAGATTTCGCACAAGGGTCTTTATGCTTGAAGACAGTCTTTGGGATTGCATGTTAGGGCTTAAGGCTAAACATCGGTATACAGAATTCAACGGTAATTTCTACTGTGGTGACAATTCAAAAAATCCATGCACCATAGGTCGGCAGACAGGCTAAAGAACAATTGTTTGAGATACAGAACACAAATATAGACATGCCCGCACATGACCACTTGCCATCACACAAATGTCCGACCAGTACCTACCCCCACTGTATGAGCTGGCAAAAGGTCATGTAAACGAGCCTTCTAGAAGCCTCACACAACCCAGTTTAGGACCCGACACCAATACCCCAAAACCATAATCAACCCTAAACCCCAAAACCATAATCAACCCTAAACCCTTTTTTGAACCCGTACTGAGGCCGATGCGTGTGACGGGAGCAGAAGCCCTAAACCCTAAACCCCGAAACCATAATCCCCAAGAGTCAACCCCTCGGCCAAACAACTTGGATCTCCGGAGCTGCAGGCGATTCCGCATCCTCTCAAGAAGATGCCGGGGTTCATGAACGTTAGGGAGTTTTTGCTTCGAGAAGTTCAGTTCGGCGGCTTAAGAGTTTGTCGTTTGGTTATGAGAGTTTTTGGGGGTGTTGTGAGGGCCACTAAAGGGCGTATGGCAGGGGCATTATTGAAAAACAGATTCAGGAGACATATATACCGGAATTCGCACGAATTCAATCCATCCACAGTACGGTTTCGGGCTCGGAAAACTGGAGGTTTCGGGTGTAGTAGTAGGGGTGTAGGTCTTATGTTGATCCATAAGCGTCCGTTTTCATCGGAGCTACACAAGTACCCAACAGCTAATAACGTCGTTTGTGCTTTCCCTCATCCTCGTTCAGCAAGCAACCATAAACCCCGAAATCTTCTATGAGTCGATCTGCCACTGTACCTGCGAACACGAACTGCCGCAACCACTTCTAAACACCAATCCTTCTTGAACCCACCAAGAGCGGAACCATGAGACACGGATCGCCTTTAAAGCATCGCCTGCAGGCCCGCTAAGCCAACCATGTGTCTGCACATGCCTGTAAACGTAAGCATCTATGTCTGCACATATGCACATATCTTCTATCCACAACCAAGTGCGAACAAACTATATCTGCATAATTATATGCGTAACGGAACGCATTGTAACCAGATGTGACATAATGTAAGGAAGAATGGGTGGTGCAATCTACTCTATGTTGATGTTCATGAAGGCAATGGACGAGATTCATTGTGTGCATATATATATATATATGTATACAGCATACTATAGCATATCAGAGCAGAACATGACACAACAGAAACACCGCCATACATACAGACATACATACACACAGTTATCAGAGCAGAACATGACAGAACAGAAACACCGCCATACATACAGACATACATACACACAGTGTATACATTTATGCATGTCTGTGTACGCTTACACGCCTGCCTGCCACGGTTTGATTTTCTATGAGCATGCACCGGCTTCCGTCTGTAGATATCGATATCACGTGTATGAGTGTGTGATGCCGGTGCGAACGTGGAATGAATATGGTGCAACTGCGCTAACTGTATCTGCACATCGCAAATAATCCCCGTGCTTTTTTGATTCGTCATACCGGCGAAGCTACGACGATTATTGATACCCTGGGTTTGGTGGTAGGCTTTCTGTGGCAACTACAGCTATGACTATGGTTAGATAGCAACACCTATCGTGTAGTATCTCATTGCGCTCAAGCCAAGACATTCTGACTAATCATGAACCACCTTGAACCCGCTGTGCACCTCGGAGTAGCACCAGTAAAGCCCAAACCACAACATGTCAACAGTATCCTTGCTGAATGGGCCCAGAAAAGCAACCTCGAAAGCGACCACAACAACAAACAAACACCCAACCCCACCGTGTCAGACTGTGACAACAGGCTCTGCTGCAGGCGATTGCAGTCAGCAACAGCAATGTACCACGCATATAGAAAATGTAGGAAGGCTAGTTCCATGCGCCATGCTGACTACAATAATTACCGTCAGGCAAACGGCAACTCCCGCGAAGTTCGACGATTGAGGTATGAACCTGGCCGAATGACTCAACCGAGAATAGCAATAGCGTCACCTCCACATCCAATGTCTACTTGGACTTCCGGGAGGTCGGCCGGCTTAGGTTGCAAGGCTTGGCATGGACTTGATGGGTTGGGGTTTACAGTAGGGTTTGGGGCTTTGGGTTTTGTATGGGTTAGTTGGGTCCAGGGTATAGAGGTTTTTTAAGATGCAACTTTGGAAGGGATTCTCAAAGTCACGAGCCTCTGTCTCAGGATCCGGGAAATCCTACTTCAAGCTCACTGAATGGTGTGTTTTGCTTTGTGATGCTCCCACACAGCCTTTTGGGACTGGCTCGTCGTATATCTACTGTTTCTAACCTCAGAACTGGGGCTGAGTTTACGAGGTAGACGACGCCTACTACTACTTACTCCTGCTGCTGCTGCTACTACTACCACAACAACAACTACAACTACTACTACTACTACTACTACTACTACTACTACCACGACTACTACTGCTGCTGCTGCTACTACGACGACTACGACGACGACTACCACTACTGCTGCTGCTGCTGCTACTACGACGACTACGACGACGACTACCACTACTGCTGCTGCTGCTGCTGCTGCTGCTGCTGCTGCTGCTGCTTCTGCTGCTATCGAGATTTCAAGCACACCTACACAAAAACAACAAGTACCAGATGACAATAAGCACGAGGCCGAGCAACAGTACTAAATGCTCTCAGAACAGCAACTCACAAAACAACGCGACGCTAAGGGTAGCAGCAGAAGGGCGCAACACTATCTGAAACCAAGTTACTAGCTGACTAGCTAAAGCACTTTTCGTATTCGGGCGTGGGAAGTCGGCCGGGAATCGAAAGTGAGAGGCAGCATGTCCCCGCATCGGGCAAACCCAAGCTCTAATCCCCAGACCCGAAGCCTGAAACTCTGCACCTCAAACCCTAAATTCATCTAAATTCCGATAAATTCCCGAAGCCCTATGACGCTAAACCCTAAGCGGCCCTGAAGCCCTGAATTCCGAGGCCGCCTGCTCCTTGACCTCTAGGGTCTGAACGCCTTCTGCGTCGAGCGCAGAAGCCTCCTTTTGGAGTGTTCTTGTCCCTATTATCCCCTAAACCCTAAACCTTATAACACCTACGGCCAGAGAGAAAAGTAGGGCTTATAAGGGCTTTGTAAGTGGGAGTTCATGGTTCAGGGGATTGAGTGTGTCAGGGGAGGGTTTGGGTTGCAGCTTGTGGGCTTGGCTTGGGGTCCAGCGGTTCCGAATGGGTACACATCAATGCCACAGGTAGGAAGGGTGAGCTACAGGTTCATCCATGTTCAAAACTGCATGGACGGGTTCCGTATGTTCGGGCCTCGGCTTTAATTTAGGTTCACCATGTGGGCGCAATAAAGGGCAGCATTATCGAAAGGGATTCTGCCCGAGCTTGTAGCAAGCCAAGATCGTTGAGGGCCTATTGCTTGAAACGGGCCTCTCAGCAAACTAAACCCTCAAGTCACTGTACTCTGCCCATACGCCCTACGGAAAGCCGACAACAGCTTCGTTCCACAAGCCACGGCGCCTCAGCCACTGTCAGGTACTCCTCGGAATCCACGGGCCGCGGCAGGCGAGCGCTGAGCGGTGCCGGAGAGGTGGAGACCCTCGGGGACTCCGCCTGATATGGGGGTTGAATAGAGAATTAGAATATTGGAGTTTCCGAAAATAGGGGTACCTTATTTTGGGGTCCTTAGAATAGGGATCCTACTATTTAGTGTACTATATTGGGGTCCCTATTGTCGGAAACTCCTGGGGCCCATTATTTTCCTAAGGCCTCTAGATTCTAGATTCTGCTCTCACGCACCGGACTGGCCAGGCGAGGTCTCTTGGTGCCTGCTATAGGGGTTCACAATGGTTACAGTAGGGTGTGGGGTTTAATTAAGGTTTGGGGATAAGTAGAATGAGGTTCCTCAAGGGCTGCTATATGGATTCTATGATACAGGGGCCGTTATTGTCGGAAGAGGGCTTTGTAGCATGATAACAAGACGCCCCAAGGACTAGTATTACTATAGTGATCATATGTGGGGCCTTCTGTGCTGGTTTCTTTCCGGCGTGTGTCTCAGAGCTCGGGGAGCCTTTATGTAGGGTCACTTGATCCTACTTACTGAGGAATCTTCGGCCCGTCGCGGGGTCGCAATTTTTGTGAGACACCCGCATGGAACTCACAGACAAACTGGACTACTGCAGCCTCTCCCGGATCAACCTACCCTGTCAACCCGTGCACAAGTTCGAGACATGCCAAACCTCAAATCTGAACCTTACGCCCTAAGACCTTGAGGCCTCTGTTATGACATTAAGCTGCAAACCCTCAACTTCAACCAAAAACGCTTGCAGCCTGTGCCCCCGCCAAAACTGCCCACACCCCGCACTCTCATCGATTCATGCTCCACAAAAACGCTCCTGGGATTCGCTTTGCGCCCTCAAGTTTTGCCCTCCCGCCTTGCACTACTAAAACCCGGATACAGTAAAGCCAAACACGACCTCGACCTCTGTGCAAACGTACATCCTGCACAGCCCTGCGGGGCTCTTCAAACATCTTCTGAACCCGCCATAAAAATTCCTTGAAGCTGGATAGACCGCGTCAAGCCCCTCAACAAAAAGCTCCAAAATCACTCTAGAAGACTGCAACCCATAACAAAACGCTCCATCCAACCCCCAGGCCTCCAGGGCAGCAGCGCTGATGTCGGGCCCGGGGAGGTGACCTCGGACACCAAAAGGACGCACAAAGGAGGGATTGCCAGAAAGCGAGCCTGGCCTGAAAAATGAGGGCCTGTTTTGGGGTGTATATGGGTTTAAGGTCGGGTTTTGCAAGCCTATGTAGCCACGAACCACCAAGCAGGTTCGCGAGCATCAAGTGTTCTTCCAGCTACAGTTGCTTCAAAGCCGTGTGCCGAAGAAGAAGAACAGATTGGGAAGGGCACCGTAACCCGGAAGATCGATGGATTGCTACTTCCTGGACGGCAACATGCTGCAGTCCACGTAGGGTCACGAATCTGGCAGATTGCAAGACTGAAAAGACTGAATACTATACCAAGAGGAGGCAAGAGGAATTCCACGCCAGTAGCCCTGTAGCCTACCGCATTCACACCCGAACCCTTCCAGGCAGGTATGTCCTGGTAACCACTAAACCCAGACGTCAAGTCTTGGAATTTAAGCACATCGCAGCTAGACAAGACCCTCAGTTGGACTCCTTTCCTTTGCGAGCCATTGTAGGATCCAAGCCACAAATGGGCAACTACATTCGAGTGTAATTAAAGATACTCCGAAGCCCTCAGACCCTGCATTAAACCACAATCTAATGCCAAGAATAAATACTCCGAAAGGCATCTGGATGTAGAGCCGCATGTATGTGTGTATGCATACATACATACATACATATATATATATATATATACACATATGTGTATGCAATTGTATGTAGATGTACATGATCATGTACCTTTTTGAATGGTTGTCAAAATTAGGGTCCCTTTTCAATTACCTATTACATTACGGACCTAATATTTAGGGTACCCCAAAAGGGACCCTAATTTTGACAACTACCTTTTTGAATGCAATACACCAGCCCTGAGCTGCGCGACGAGGCGCGAAAGGCCAAGGCTCGACGCAGCCGGCGTTCCGAGCCTTCGCTCCCCCCCCCCCTCTCCCTGGGCACTGCTCGAAACCATACTCCCAAAGGGTCCAAGTATCATTATGGGATATTACTTAAGCCTCAAAATACCCTATAAGTATATACCATAATGATACTTGGACCCTTTGGGGCTAATTTCGTGTCCTCATTAGAGTAGGGTTCCGGACTCCTTGAAGTTGTATAGTTGCAATAAGGAGCCGTCAGGAATAATACTGATATAAGAACCTACCTTTGCTGAGGACTTCTGTCAGGATCATGAGGAGGAGCCCCTTAAAAAGATGGCTATACAGGGTTCAGGTAGGACCTAAATAAGACCTCGATCAGACTTGCTCCACTTGCTCCAAAGATTGATGCAAGGATCCTTTTCTTCAGGACCTTTCGTCTCCGATGCAAAAGGGAGCCCGCGTGTTCGGGCTTGCGTCTTCAGGGGCCATGGGGTGTAAACCAGCAAAGCCCAAATCCCAACTGAACCCTTCAGCTCTGCACACACTGTAGAAATGTTCTGGAAACCCCGGATCGAATGTATGACAACCAGAAGGCCGTGAACGCCAAATCAGAATGTCCTCGCATCCCAGAGCATCTGAAGCCCTTTCGCAACTGGCTACGACTCTCCCAAAGCCTAAAGTCCTAAAGCCCTCCCCACGGTGCCTTTCCAGGACGTCTTAAGACGGAAGGTCGATTATTAAATACATATGTGGTAAAGACCAAGAGGCTCGAGTTGATGGCGAGAAAAGTGGAGGAGGAGCTCGAGCTCCGGTCTAGGCGAGGCCCTGGGCTCCTTGCGAGGAATTCGACGTTTGGAGTTTCGGCGCTCAGACTCGGACAATCCAGGCGAGGCACATGCTTCGAGGTCGGCTAATGTCGGGTGAAACACCCTTTTAGTGAGAGTATTTGGAACGACAAGATTTCAAAGCCCCTTAAGAAGAACTTCCGTCCTTCTCTGGAGTTTAGGGTTCAGGGGTGTAGGATTCGTGTAGGATTTTCGGTTTCAGTTCATTTTCTTGGGGTCTCCGTCGGTTCTGTTTTGTCTGAACCTCAGTGGCTTCAGGGTTGTTCGACTCTCACATTGATCGAGTTTCACACAGCAAAGTTCAGGCAAAGCGCTGCCCAACTGGGCATTGCTGCAACTCAGTCAAGGAGAATCACGCAACACAATCACAAACAGCTAAGCCAAAACCCACCGCACCTCAACCCTCAACCCTTGACCGCAGTCTCGGGTGTCGGGCTTCTTGAAAGTGGTGGGCATCTTCGGGCTCAAAGTTTGAGGCAACAAACACAAACGGCGAGACGCAGGAAGAGCTGAAGTTTTCTGGATGGTGTTCATGATAGGGTGTTAGATGTATTCGGGATGTGTTGCTGTTGTAGGTTTTAGGGTTTCAAAGGCGAGCTTGTAGGGCGGAGACTCTCGTATTCCCAAACAATCTTGCTTATGAGAGGTGTGTAGTCCCTTGGGCAGGTGCCGTAGCGTAAACTGTGTGGGTACATGGACACACACGCACACACACGAACTTGCCTCTGCCCATCGTCACTGCGGCCGGCAAGGCTGGCGCTGTGTGCCCGCCGCCCCTCCGCTTTAGTTGGAGTCTTCAGGCTTTGCAAGGGGACTTGCGAGAATTGTTGCGGCTTGGGACGGCGTCTTTGCTGGTTTCGCGGTGCAGTGTCTGTGGTATGACTGGAGCGGGCCCAGCCGAGCAGCGGCCGGCTTCGGAATATAGAACTTAAACACACATAGAATCAGCATCATCATGATCGTCAGGACAGCCCTGCTCTCTCTGACAGGCATTGTACATTTGATATGTTTATTTGGGCACAAGAACGGACCACAAGTCGAAACCGAAAAGAGGCGAGAGCTCGAAGGTCAACGCAAAGCCTCATCCGCCCCGGCAGCCATGTCGGCGCTCCGTGGCGTTCCCCTCGCACTCCGTGGGGTTCCCCTCAGGGTCGCAAGTCGTGGGGGCAAGGTGCTGCAAGGGCGTACCCGGGTGTGGAGGACAATGGTATTTTCTTCTGAATGTGTCGGGCCTTTACCCCTGGTTTATGACACGAGGTGTGAGGAGGGCACGGTCATTACCTCAACAGCTGATTGCAAACTTGTTTTCCTCAGTGTCGCATCGCAGCCAACTATCTCTGAGAGGCAAGCAAAGTGCTATGGAGTCGTGTTTCATTGCCTCGCCTCAAACACCAAGCCGTTACATGAAGGTTTCAAGCTTCTGGGCCATTCGGAGGTTTAGGGGATATTGAACGCAAGGTCTATCGGCTTTAGTCACTAACACTCGACCACATGGGTACTGCGCAGTGTTGTGGCTTTGGGGGTTTCTCTTCTGGTATGTATTTCGCATCTGGGGATGGAGGCTCGCTCTCTCAAACAGTGCATTGCTTATCTACGAGCCATTCCCTGGATCCTCTACAGTAGCAAGACTTACCGAGGAGAGCTGCGCAAGTATCCAGGCACCCAACCTGCATACTTGCCGCACATACAAGTCCCAAAACCGACCACCACCACCACCACCACCACCACCACCACCACCACCACCACCACCACTACCGCTGCTGCTACTACGACTATAGCACGACTACTACGACGACGACGACGACGACTACTGCCTACGACCATCACCACCACCTGCTTTTGAGGCCGAGGCAAACCTTGCCGACTTCTGGGCACGGCCCGGGCCTCCGAGGCAAGGAGCGCAGCTTCAAAGAAGGGTGTTCAGTAAGGTTGTGGTGTGTAATGCATATATAGATAGAGAGAGAGAGAGAGAGAGAGAGAGAGAGAGAGAGAGAGAGAGAGAGAGAGAGAGAGAGAGAGAGAGAGAGAGAGAGCGAGAGGTAGCGCCTGTGAGTGTATATATATATATATATATATATAGTTATAAATGAATAAATAAATAAATCAATATACATATATATATATATGGTTATAACTCATGTAAGTTAGTATCTATAGTATTCTATATACACACTGTCCTACAGTTATGCTATAAACGCGGCACCAAAAGAGGATGATATTACTATAGCAATCGGTAGGCCGGTAGGTTCACATCCTGGGAAGGGACCCTCTTACGCAGAAGTGTCTTCCCAACCGAGTCCCGCCTTTGCACCTGAAATCCCGAAACTCAGAGCCCCAAGCAGCAAACCCTAAACCTTAAACCCTAAACCCTAAAACCCTAAACCCTACACCCCACAACACTTTTTTCACCTCGGAGCTCCTCGCAGCAAGGCCCGAAATTAACCCACCAAGCCCCTCAAGGTCTGGAGGTTTGAAGGTCAAGGGAACTCTGAGACCCTGAACTCGGAAGTCTTAACCCTGACTTCAGTAATTAGATTCCACGACAACCGGACTGTACACTAGGTTTCAAGTTTAAAGGCCTTAGATGATACATGTACCCCAACTACGAATGACCATATGTTGCTTAACTAGCGGGAACTGCTTCAGTTCGTCATAGCGCGAAGAAGATTGAGGCCTGGGGGCGTGGGGTCTTACGACTGTCATGTATGAGCATTGGGGCTCTAGTCTTTTAAGTTGGGGAGCTTCAGAAGCTTACCAAGTAGACCATTCCACCACCAATCACCAATCCGAGAAGCTGGTGACGAAGAGCTCGGTAAAGATGAAGCCATGGGAGGCCAGGGTTCTCGCACGCCGATCTAAGATTCCGCAGGCCTGAACCACTGGGCTATTAATCATACTTAGCCTACTTGTCGCCTGTCCATATCAAACAAACCCATACACAAGCCACGAATTACAAAAGACGCTCACTCTTGATCCTTTGTTGCTTCCTGTAACATGTACATCCTCAAGGCACTAAAAGTGTTCTTACGCAGGCTGGAATCACACGCTTCAAACTTGTTGCGGTCGTGACTGACTGAGCCTGAATCGGCATGAACTCGAACAGCTCAGCCTGATAAATGACAACCGCGTTATGAAAACTTCTTGATGCAGGACCTCCAGATGTTTTCGAGACCCTGCAGTGTGGCGACTGGCCCTGGCACGATGCAGCGAAGGGACAAAAAGACTTCAAGCGTTATAAAGTTGAACACTGCCCATCCAAAGACCCTTAGCCCTTGAACCATAAAGCCCCAGCCTAAAGCCACCTTATGGGACGTGGTCTTCGAGATTCTTTGTGGGTTTTACAACGTTCTAGAGGATCTCGACTAGCCTGTATATATATATATATATATATATATATAAGCCAGAACATGCGCCGGATAGCTTGCAGATACATCAGTGATCAAACGCTCAGCCTAAGAAGCCAACCACAGATGAGAACCCAGGCATGTTGAGACTGAACCAGTGTCATACCTCTTGCCTCGGTGTTGTATGAATGTATGTATGTCTGTATGTACATATGTATGTATGCCTGTATGCATGTATGTATAACGAGCATGCATGTATGTACGTAGGCATGCATGCATACATGATTGTATGCAGGTAGGCATGTTCGCATGCATGTATGCATGTATTTGCAGCTGACACATTAGATACCATTGCCATGGCGTAGGTTGAATCTGTAAGGCGCGCTCTTTTTACAATGCTGTTGTTGTGGGTGGTGGTGTTGATGGTGATTGCATGGTTGTGGTGGTGGCTGCGGCGGTGTTTCTGGTGCTGCTGCTGTTGCTGAAGCTGGCTTTTGTTGTTCTTGCTCTATGGTTTTCAAGGTTCTAATTGGGCTGCAGAAACTGGGTGTGCCCAATAAAGATCGTAGCTCATACAGTGCGTACTGTAAAGACCCCCTAACTTCCTACAAAAAAACACCTAACCGGATGCGAACAGGGCCAGCACATGACCGCGGCGGCACCCGCCCGGATGGCTGCCCTGGCCCACGAGATGATGCAAGGATAGCGTGGCCGAAACTCTCGGAGAATCCAGGGCCATGGGTTTAGGGCAGAAAGGGCTTCTTCGATTTGAAAGAACGCTCGAAGCCTATGGACCCTGAAGTCCTTGACCTCCCTCCTGAAGCATCAGCCCGGTACCATTTTGGTATAGGCTAACTCCCAGATGGTAACCTTCCCCCCAAAACTGAGGCCACAGTAGTACCTCGTATCAAACGTTCTGCGGCTTTGATCTTTCAAACTTTGGCCAGATCCGCTCGAAGGGAGGGTAGTAGTGCTCCCAACCTCGGGGCGGAAAAAAGGGGACGTGCAGTTGAGGGTTCAGGGCTTCGGGCTTTGCATGAGAGCGCAGAGTTAAAGTTTACGGTTGAGTCCTTCTGGCCCGGCCTGAGCCCGCGCGCGAAGGCTCCAAGTCTACAGCCGCGTCTTGTTCGAGCTGCTACATTGGCCTCTAAGACTTTAAAAGTTACCATATACCTACTGCGCAAGGCTCCCTAGAGCCCACAAACGGGTCATGTGAGTCTCTGAGGCTTTGGTTAGTTTCGCTTAGTTTCGGGCTTAGGATCACGGGCTTGGTGGTTCGGAATGTGGCTAATGTTGGTAGTTGTGGGGCCGATTGCTTTGGACTGAGCCTCCGGCAAAGTAACTGAACAAATTGTGCCAGCAGTGAGACGAGGCTTGTTGCTAGGAGTTGCTAGGATAAATTTCGCAAGAGCCACTTAAAACTCTGACTCTACGTAAGTGTACTATTCAATGCTGAACCTCCCTGCACCCTTTACTCTGGAACTGTCCGCCGCCACCTTTGAAGCATGTAGCAGCCTCAAGAGTATGGTATAGCTTCTTCAAGACCTCTGAGGAAAAATGTCGTTAAATGTTCCGGATGCCGTTATACCAGGCAAGCGCAAAAAAGCTGGATTGCTTGGGCACGAACGGGTTCGTGCCTCTGCAATCGAATTCATCGACGAGCGTCCGTACTCCTGCAAAGAACTTTTTGGGTTGAAGTAGGATCTTGGGTTTAGGGTAATGGAACGCTACTAACCACCCTCCCGAATCAGGCTTACTTGGTGTGTCGGTCTTAACGTCAAATTACACTGACATTTCTAGGGTTGAGAAAGCTTGATGAGCGGAGTCACAAATCGCTGCACTTGTGTTAAGACCGTACTTGACCTAGAGGCCGCAAAGTAGTTCCTTTTTGGGGCATCCTATAAGGTAATCTCAAAAAGGAACTAATTACTATCGGGCCTATGGGGAGACTCTTTTAGTCAAGTCTCCTTGCCGATCGTTTGAACCGGGGGCAAGCGCAATCATCCAAGTCCACGTGGCAAAAAAGCCGCAAAGCTCAAGACCCGCAGTCCCAAAGTCATGAACTGCCGACATACAAACCGGACGCGCCTCCGGGTTTAACACTGCCCAACATGTCCAGTATCTACAAAGCCCTGTAATTAAGCCACTCGGTCCATGCAGGGTTCGGGTTGGTTCTCAAGGATAGACATTAACTTGGCTCCTGCTCGTTCATGGCGAAGTGCTTCACGGCAACCGCGACGCCTGCCCGATCCTGCATGCCGTGAACCTCAGAAAGACAGCTATGTGTGAGGCGGGAGGGGGGTAGGGAGGAAAGTAGGGAGGGAAGGGTCGTGTATGTCTGTATATATGTATATACACAATATGCAATTGCAAGTGCACGTTTCTGTAGTTTTTGTGCCATCCATCCTTGTGGTTGCTGGAGCAAACACCTCCCAACACCAAGCCGGATACCTTTAATTAATCTTTAGCCACAGACCGTAAACTCGAAATCCCAAGAAGTACACCCTAAATCTTAATGCCTAACCCGCAGCCCTCACGTAAGAGATCCTAACCACACGATGAACAAAGACTGCAATAACTAGATTACCCTCCTTTACACCCCTTGATCGACCCCCACTGCAAACCCTCAACCCTACCGTAATATGACGTGCCTCCGTGATACTCCTTTGATAGACTTGGCTTACCTTCCTCCTGGACACCCCATGATAGACCCCGCTCGAAATGCTAAAACCCAAAGTTACCTTCCTGCTTCATTCGTCCCGGGATCAAAGGCCCCGGCAAAGGCAGGAGCCAGCAGCCGGCCCAAGGTGGGATCCTGGCGGAGGGATCCTTCAAACAAATGATCTCCTGTTTTTGTGGAAAATAATCTTAACAAGTCCAAAGATGAGGATTCATTTCGAGCTTGAGGGGTCAAATCATGAGGAGGAGCTCTTTCAAGGGTTCCCTTCAAGGGTTTGAGGGGATCTTTGCGATGTTGGGCTTGTAAATCAAGGCTTCGGACAGGTGTTTTGAAATTCCCATGGCTGGGATAGGAACCAAGGTCTAGGGTTGATACTTGCAGGATCCTTTAGCCTCTATCTCCTACAAGTATCCGTGTCTTTTTTTTGAAAGGGAGTTCAGAGATGCTTCTGGGAATTGCCCAAAACCCCCAACTTAGCTGCATTCAAGGATTGAGGGTTCAGGATTCAGGCGGGCTTAAGAGCATGCAGAGTGCGGGGCTTGGGGTACAGGTTGAAGACTCAGCAATATGAAATTTCACTCTGGGCCACTTCAAAACTTCGGAAAACTGCTTCCGTGCATCTGCGGGCCACATGTCCCCGTGCAGCTCTCTGTGTGGATCTTTGTTTGTGACACTATAGCGACTGCAAGATTACCAGGTAGTCACCCGCGCTTGCCGGTGAGAAACACCTCGCTGCACTCAGGAAACTGGGCCAATGAGAATCGGTGGCCGTTTCCCTCAAGGCCCGTTCTGTGTAGTTCAGGAACCTCAAGAATGAAGATGTTTACTAGCTCTAACCGGTGAGCCTTGTCTGGACCATCTTGCTCCCCCTCAATCCATTTTGTTTTTGGCGGCCTACCCAACTCGTAGAACTAAATGTTGAGCAATGCACACTCAGACCTCAAGTTTCAATCCCAAACTCAGACCCTGCACACTACGGTCACTACAGCCGCTTAAACCCGAAAGCCCAGCCTCGCCAGAGAGGTACTCGGCATTTCGCCCGCCGAAGGGGGACTCGGAGGCAGGCTGCAGAGTGCAAAGATGTGTTAGAATAGGCCAGGGCTTCTTCAATGGATTCCCCTCACGGTTCCTTTTGGGATCACTGTAAGGCTCCTTCAAAGGATTCCTTTCAGGGTTCCTCTACCGGATCTATATAAGGCTCCACAATGCAGGGGCCTTAACAGTTCGAGCCGAACCACTACATCAATAGTATTCAGGCTCTATGGCTAATTCAAAATCAAGCCGAACTTTGAGCTGCGTGCGCGTTTGGTACCTTGTGCCACTGAGAAGGTTTCGGCTTCAGGGGCACTCTACTCCCAGCCGCAACAAACAGAAGCTTTTTCGTCGAGCCATTTGGCCAATGCAGAACTTCAATCTCTGAGCTAAGACCTCATGTTCACGCCCTTCCTCTAGTCTCAATTGCCGCCGTATCCTTTAAAGCCTTCCTTCGGGTCTATAACGTTCATATAAGGGCTGTCCTTATATGTTGCACAAGGCTTTCCTTGACCCAGCAAAGGAACTACAGGTCAGAGAAGGGCAGCCTGAAAACGTTACCTCCAAAACACGAGGAAGATGCCAGCTAGGGCTTTGGGGAGATATAGGAGCCCGAACAAGTAAGATCGTCTTTTGGTTGATATTCTAGTCTATTGATCTTACGGAACCCAACGAGAAAGTAGTGGTAAGCATTCCGACCCCCTATGCTATATTGGGGTGTAGGGCCCTAAACATTAAACCCCTCATCAGAGCTTTAAGCGAGAATGTCAAAGACCCGGTCCCGATGCACGTTGACGGCGGGAGCCAGGATCATGTTCGCACCCTGAGGGATACTTGGAAGGCAAAGAGGGCACCCGTAGTCAGTGGAGTGATTGTATAAACACCGGAAGATACGTCGACCCTGGCGGAGGATTGTTGGGATGATTTGCGAGCGTGTGGGGACCGTTTGGACAATCACAGAGAGCGAGAGGGAGAGAGAGAGGGAAAGCGAGAGGGAGAGGGAGAGAGGCAAAGAGAGAAACAGTGATACACTCATACTGTACATCTGTTTATATATGCATGGATACATGTATACGAACAAAAGAGGGCGCAACTACATAAGAGCAAATATATAGGTATAGACAGATAGGTAGATATCTAGATCGGTAGACTCGATAGATAGGGCTTGGAGGCTTGGACTGTCCGTGCCACGAGTTGCAGAAAACATCTGGCACACTCTGTCACCAACCCCTTGCTCCTAGTGAAGTGCAGGATAGAAGCTTTTGGAGGACAGTGCGACCCCTCTGTCAGAGTCTAGGGTCACGAGAATTCCCATCACTATCGGCCGTGATGTTGCCTTGGCTCGGAACTCGTCACCCATAGCTGCGGCCTCAGTTCTAGGATATAGTGTGGTATCACGGCTTCCGGGATGTTAGAAAGCATGCAGAAGGCTGCAACATTGGGTTACTACTGCTTGGGGTGCTCCATACTTTACAGTGGGCAGCCAGGCATGGATGATTGAACTTCGCGGCCTAACCTTGGATGTAGGCAAAGCTGGCGAAGACCAGACACATAACCACTCTACAACCAAAAACACAATCACAAACACAACTCTGAACTCCTCGAGTCATCAACTCTCCGAACCCACCCAAACTCGCCCAGCTAAGCCCAAGTCTTCAAACCTTCCACCCTCAAAGCCTGAAGTGGCCGCAAGCCCCAAACAGCACAGTGTGGTAGACCCTAGTCGAGTATAATGCAGTCCTGGAAAGTATTCATAGTAGCCTAAACATGTCCTAGGCTGGAATATACAGCTTTCTATAGTATGTACAGTCTACTGAAATACTTTCTAGTCTAATATAGTAAATTCAGACTTCTGGCATCTCCGCCTCGCCAGGGTCGGGATTGAACACTTTCAGGCCTTCTAGGCTTGGACTTCGGAACTCCTTGAGGGACTCCAAGGATGAAGGTCTAGCTGAGCGTTTCCGGGTTTCGACTCGCACACTCGCGGACGGCAGGCATGGCTTCAGGCAATATCTGCCGAGATCTCGCATCGTTCTGCTGTCGAATAGCGCCCAGGTTCACCCAGCCATCTGCAACCGAGGCCCCCTTGTTCTGCACGGATCATGACTCCTCTCCAATCTCCAGCATACTCCCCTTTGCTGATCGCCAAGGAGCTGGTCTGCCAGTACTTCAGCCCACTTTCCACATCCTTCCATTTGAGAAGGCATTTGCCTCCTGACCGGCGATGCTAATCATTCAGGGAGCGCAAGAAAAACGTAGGCGAGTCAAGGTTGCCTCGAACGATTGGATGCTGGGAATCGCCTGCCATTCTTCCACCAATGGCGTGAAGCAATGACCGGGTTTAGGGTTTAGGGCTTTAGGGTTTCAGGTTGGTTTTTAGGACTTTAGGGGTTTAGAAAGTGAAATAATAAAGTGAAACATCCAAGAGCTCATGCTCTGCAAAAACCCCACGAGAACCTACGGCACAGGAGCCCCAACTACAGCTCCTTGAAGCCTAGATAAGCCCTGTAATGTGCAAGCCTCTGCTCTGAAGCCTCAAAGCCCCTGAACTCCATCGCCTAAACCTCAGAACCCTAGAACGCTGAAGCCGCAAAGCCACTCCCCCCCAAAGCCTAGAGCTCTCCAAACCCAATATATCCAAATAGCCTAATCGCTGACTGAAGCTGTGAAGCCCGAGCACTGCGAAACCTCCCAAGTCCCTAAACCCCAACTGCACGCACGCTAAACCGTATGTCCTAAACCCCACACTACTAGATCTTAGCCCCGATGACTTCAAAGAGTCCAAAGCAGGTAATATTCAGAGACCTTGGACCTTGCATACCAGGTTACCACCGTAGGAACTATTTCCAAAGTTAGTAAAAACGAGCCCGGAACCCAATCTTCCACGAGTTCCGCGTCCCACGTGGCGGCAAGGGAGAGCGGCGAGGGCCTCGGCAGCAGAAAGTAAAGAAGGTTTATGCAGTTTTTGATCTGAGCCCTATATGAGTAAGAAACCCAGTCTCAAATCAAGAAGAGGCCCGTGGACGGCGTCGCGGCTCTTGGGTGCTTAGGGATTTTCGGTGCTCATTCTCGGACATGAGAGGCGAGGTTGTTAGTGCGTAGTCGCATGACAACAGCCAGCATGAAAATGACTAGACCTGCTAGACGAAGACGCTTTCGCAACTTCAGACAGAATAAGTACTGGATAATCCGGGCGCGAAGTTTCGGGTGAAGATGCAAAGCCCTTCCAACAATCCCCTACAAGCGGGATGCTCAGGTATATGCTGGATTGCGGCAGTGGGGGAGAAGTAAACATGTGACTACTTACAACACCGCAGATCCTCGCATGCAATCTTCCCTCGTGAGGCTCCAGCCGTAAGCCCCTTCAAAGATCTTCGAAACCTTTTCTACAGTCGACTCAGCCGACTGAGGTCCCCCTGCTCCGCTCCAGCTATGCCCACCGAGGAGGCACCCGAGGCATCCAGACCCACGTAGAAGAGCATGCCTTGCTCGCCCTGATATCCTCCAATCTCCATGGGCACAAAGAAGGGAGCGCTGACGGCACGCGCATCGAAGGCATCAGCTTCTGGTGAAGGCGCGAAGATGGGGCCATCACCAGCCTTCTCCCAAACAATGCCATCCACGGACTTTGCAAGGCCAAAAGCGTGACCAGCAGCAGAAGAACCCTCATAGATCATCGTGTAGCCGTCGCCATCTGGAAAAACATGGCGACGGCTGCATCCCCCTGCATCGAATGCGCCATCAACACCAGGCGATACAATGACTCCTTCTCGCTTCCAGGTAAGTCCGTCCCTGGATCTTGCAAGGCCTATGCGGAATTTTTTGTCTTCGAGTCCAGCTCCATGATAATACATCCTCCAGTCCTCAGCAGAATGCTTCACCACCTGAGGTGAAGCCGCGAACACTGCATCGAAGTCGTCTCCCCGTGGCAAGATCTCGCGGCGATCGTTCCACCCGCCTGTGCCAGTGTCGAAGGCGACACCGATGCTTTGGTGCACACCCAGCATGCTGCGATCGCCAATTGCGAAGGGCTCGCGGCTGCCGCCAAAGTAATAGAGCCGCTCGCCTAGGATGCTACCCATGCCGACGAGCGCTGAGTCGAACTTCGCTGCATCCTTTGTCGGTGTGAAGACTGCTCCGCTTGGTGCGGAGCCTCTGCACTTTTGCCAGTGAAGGCCGTCATCGCTCTCTGCCAGACCGATGGAACCCATTGAGAGGGGAACGACCTCGGGATCTGCCTCCAGGCTTCGCCCATGGTACCACATCCTCCATTTCCCTCCCGCCACACGGGGAACCTCCACCGTCACACCCCCCACCGCGGATGAGTCAAAGCTCTGAGGCTCCGCTGAAGGTCGAAGCACCGGGCTGATGCTTGCAGATCTTTGCAAATACCTAGACCGTGAGTGGCTGCTCTGCCTCGCCGCGCCGAAGCCTACAAAGAGCCCGGTTGGCATGAGTGCCATGGCAGCAAAGGCTCCTGCCGCCGTAGACATGGCAGCACGTGCACGTGAGCGCATGGTTGCACAGGCTGGTGACAGCAGTGGTGCCCTAGTCTAAACATCCGATAGTCGTCGGCATTCGTCACGTCCTTTACCCGATTTGACGTGCTAAGCCTTAGGGCTGAGGGTTTGAGAAGTTAGAGGTTTCTGCGGATTGGGACGGCATAGGTCATTTAGGATTCAATGGTTTGTTGCTTTTGGGTTCGGAGGCTGAAGTATTTGGGGCTTTGAACATTTTTCTTGTGCTTCTCGGACTGAGCTTCGGACTTATAGGCTTGAAGGCTTTGGGGGTTGGCCCAAAGGAAAAGGTTGTGCGGAGTGGGTTTGAGCCCAAAGCACGCTTTCAGGAATGAATCCGGCCTGGGGGGCTGAGCCCAGACAAGCGGATACACCCAAACCAAGCCAAACATAAGTATTCATACTTCGCTTACTCATATCTGATAAACGGAGAGACTCTGTAGTCAAAGCGGGTAGGGGGGCCGAGGGGCTCTCTCTGCGAGCACCGGGACTGCGAGTGAGGTCTGAGGTCATTGCCACGATGTGACGGTGCCCAGCATCTCCTGGAGACAGCTGCTTTGATACAGAATTCTATACACTTTCAGCAATCTGTTGTGCGGTCATGCATTATATTGCTAGTAGTGGCAGTAGTAGTAGTAGTAGTAGTAGTCGTCGTCGTCGTCGTCGTCGTCGTAGTCGTAGTCGTAGTAGTAGTAGCAGGAGGGAAGTATTGAACCTTGCTGTTAGTCGTATTTGGAGTAATGTTAGGATTACTGGAGAAGTTCAGCGTTCGTATGAAGATTAGGATTATATGAGTGATTAGTAGCATGTGCACGAATTAATAGTATCAGTATTAGAAATGATACGAATGCTATAGTACTCGCTTCAGCTTTGAACTGGAATTTGGATTAAAGTTTTAGTAGTCTGAGTCTTGGTGTTAGTCTGTTAGTAGCCGTACTGGTGCCAGTACTTGTGCCACTGCTACTGTTACCGTAGTGTTAAAAAACGACATAGTTCGTAGTAGCGTTGTGCGTGTTACTTGTGTGCTGCTTGGGAACGTGTATTCTACTCTGAGAAACGAGTGGCACGACAGCTTGCACGCGACGAAGGGAAGAGTCGTGAAGACCAACACTGCAAGTCACGGCGGCCTACTAAACACCTAAACACCATACAGCGCGAGCCTGGACAGCAAACTTGAACACCTCAATCACCCGAGAAGCTGTCAATAAGGACCTTTTTAGCGGAGGTGTTGTACCCTCGGCAAAGCCGTCCTAAACCCACGTCAAAGCAAAACCTACACCTCAAACCCGAGAGCATGAAGCCTTTTTAGCTGCTGGACTCAAGTCTAGCCAGGCTACGACCTGCAATCATCTTGACCGAGGCCGACACGCAGCACCGATACCGAAGCCGCCCTGAAGCCTCAAGGCCTAAACTCTAAACTGCAGTCCTCGTCTGTGGTGCGGAAGCCAGCACATCCATCCTGCAGAGTTGCACAGGATGCGGGTTTGAGCAGCTCCTTTCAGACTTGAAGTATGGCTTTAAAAACTCTCTCAAAGGGCCCCGAAATAATCCAAACAGGGGGCTTAGCGTGCTCTCATTGTTGCACTCTGCTGCCATACCAGCCGACGGCCGTTAATTACTGCAGCTCCTGTGTTGAAGCCCACGGCAAGCTTCGAGACTACACCGGTTACATCCTATATATGTGCCAGCATCCGCGCACCCCCCCCCCCCTCCCCCCCCCATGGTAATCCCCCTCCCCCCCCCTGTGGTTCCTGTGGTTCCCCCCCCCCCTGTGGTTCCTCTTGGTTTTCCCCCTCCCTTTTGTGGTTCTTCTGGTTCCTGTCTCCCCCCTCCCCCCCTGTGGTTCCTGTGGTTCCTCCGCGTGGTTGCTGCTGCTTTGTTGTTGCTGCTGTTCTTCTTCTTGTTCTTGTTCTTGTTCTTGTTGTGTGGTCGCCCGGGTCGGGGGGGGGGGGGATACCATTGGGGGGGGGGGGGGGGGTCGAGAACGCGGAGCGCGGGCACATATATGCTCCTACGGCAGCAGCAAGGAAGTAGGAACATCATGATCTCAAGCCTCCGCCTAGAGAGTATGGAACGCCGGCATGAACCATCCTATCTCTATCTTCCAACTTTTAGCTTCCACTGTACGCCTTCCTGCGGAGGTTTGCCCGTGCTGACTTCAGAACACAAGGACTGACTAATTCTGGCGGGTGTTTTTGATTTGCTCCCCTGAGCCCACAAAGACGAATCCTCAAAGCGCTGTTCGCCCCAACCATATTTGACAATCCAAAACCCGTCAGACGTTCGACTCCCCTGGCGGTTTCTTAAAAAGCAGGAAAAAAACATGGAACTAATTGAAACTACTCCTTAGGCCTCCTGAGTGATTCTGCGCTTCACTAACCTATGCCCCCCCCCCCCCCCCACCCGCGGGCCCCCCCAAGGCTACGTACCGATTCGTCAAGCCCTAGTGTCTGAGGCTCGGTGGTCTTGTTGGCTCCGATGTTGCATCTTCCCCCTTGCGCCCGGCTACGAAGGGCCAACTTCTGATCCCGATACCAAGCACCCCACACCGTAATCCTTACCACCTCACCCTATAAACTGCCCTGTGACGCCCAGATTTCTCTCGCCTCAATTCCGGCTCTTGCTCTACAGATGCAAGGGGTGCAGGACGAGTGAGGAGGGCTCGGCAACGTGTCTCGAACATGCCTCTTTAGAAAAACTAGATGGAGGACTTCCAGAAATACTGTATAATACTGTCACTAACTACTTAGGCTATACTGGGCTGCTCCTGTCCCTCAAACACAGCTCTCCGGGACCAAGAAATACCTGAGGGCTAGCGGAAAAACTGTTTTTCTTGGGGTTCAGAGGTTGAGGGGAGCGCCGCAAAGCTTTTGTTAATTTAGGGTAAGAGTTTGCCACCTGTTGAAACTGGGCTTGCAGGCCCTGAATAACAAACCCCCCTTAAAAGGTTATCACGGGGAGGCTAATTCTAAGGCCTCGTGCATCAGGTGCGGATAGGGTTGAGCATCAATCCGAGGTTTGGGATTCGGGCGTGTAGGGCACAGGCTCAGGCTCCATGGGTTTCTGGCTTAGGGAAACCCAAAATCTGCGCAAAGTTTTGGAGTACAGCAGCCCCTCAGGTTGCCCGGCATCTCCACTCATCACGGGGACAGGCCCTTCGAGGGGCCCATCGAGATAAATCCTCAAGTCCCCAAGTTCTCTTTTACTTCTCCAATCATCCAGGAACGGTGGCTCCAAACCCGAATAGACCGAAACTCTCGGTACTGAGGTAGTCACTGTTAGGGATCGCCAAGTTTGGGTGACACCTCTGGAGAGCCAATGCGGCAATCCTTGATTGCGACGGCTCCGGGCCCTCAACTAAAACATACGGCTTGAGCTTTAGAGTACCCGGCATAAGGTCCCTTAAAGGGTTCTATAAGTGTACAAGGATTCCAACATTGGTAGTTGTAAGTAGCCCTGACATGCTAAGACTTTAGGCCCCCATTTGGAAAACGGAGAAGTTGTCGAAAGCAAGGCTGCTTTCCTCACCGTCTCACCAACGCCTGGGGTCGCTGAGCCCTAGGAGTTGAGGGCAGCGAGACAGCAGCCTTGCTGAAACTGTGCTCCCAAGAGAGTAGCTATAGTGGCCTAGGTTGTCCTGTCAGAGCGGAAAGCTTTAGGCTGTAGCTCCCTTGATGGACCGAATAATTCAAGGGATCCTCGGAGACACGAAGAGACCATGCATTTCTGTGTCTGCTCTGTTGTTCATGCCCTTCGGGTACCATAACTTGTGGGCAGCCTCTGAAAGGACAACCTTGGCACTGGCGTGAAAGCAACCGACGGCGGCTACATGACAGCGAGGATAAACCACAAACTCTGAGTTTAAGAGTTAACGCTTCAGCAGCCTCTAAAACCTAAACAAATTCAGGTTCTAGGGGGCGGACTAAAGTCTAAGCACCCCCAAATTTCGATACTGCCTGGGTTCCCTACCATGCCAGTTTTCGATGGAAACTGCTTGGGTGTCTGGTGGCAAAGGGCGCACGCCTGTTCGGCGGCAGCCGTCACCTGTCCCTCCTCAGATGGCACCGAGTCCCGCTAAATCCTGGCCTCCCACACTATGTAACTAATTAGTGAGCTTCCCCCGATTCCCCCTTAATCAAGTCGTTGTAACACAGACAAACATGTACAAACACAAAAACTTCCAAGTTCTAAGCCTAGGGCCTACTAGGGCAAGTTGATTGTGTTGCGGCTCTGACTCTTCGGTCGGGCGAAGGTCTGTCTGTCTTGCTTCGAGTTGTGGCAGCGTCCGAAATTTGCTCAGCCATTTCCTTTCTGGCCACACCTGTACGCAAAGCCCTATAAACACTAAACCCGAAATCCCTTGATCCAACACGTGCAAACTACCAGCCTCAGCAACTGTAAACATTCACTGGTTGCCTGTTTCGTTATCTCTGCATTGCAAGCCTGTCTTGAGGAAACTGTAATGGTAAAAACAGCTAATATCCATCAGAGCTGCTGTAGAATCTCAAAAGGTTGGCCGGGTTCTGGGCATTAGGGCTTCATGGATGGACATTCTGAATGTAATTGAGGGGTCCATCGTTACGTAAAGAACATTCGGGCCACGTCTGAATTATTTATGCATTCAAATACAAGAGAATGCGGAGGTAAAGACATATGACTCGACGTCCGTAAGCTATAAAAGCATGAAAGCAAATAATGCTTGCGCGAACAAAAAAGAAGACCTGCATGCTTGACTTTCGGCTGCCACCCGGAGAGATAGCTGAAACACCAGCCACAATCGCAGATCCGACCCCCAGCATTGCAAGTGAGAGAAATCTGGGCTGTCCTGTCCTGACCTCTGGGTCCCTGAAAAATCTTCGTCGGCCTCAAGTCACCCGGCTCCTCACCCACCCCCAGAGAACATGCACAACACCTTTTGATATCTACTGTAGCAAGAACAGGAACGA